AAGTCAATGCTGCGGATGACGAACGGGGTCGTCAGCGTTTGTAGTCTCTCGTGAGGTCGCACTTCGGACTTCCAGAAGTCATCGCATTCGCTGTTATCGAATCGGCCCTCACCCGCGAGGAGGCAGAATGTAAGGACCGTTCCTTCGTCGAAGACGTCCCTCGCGTTTCGAGCGAGACCTTGTTTACGAGAGCCCTTGTTGCTGGTCGGGAGGAATGTCTCAGCTGCGAAACGGAGCCGATACAAAATCGATCCCACGGATACGGTGTCCGCTTACCGACTGTTTACCTCGTTACACCCCTACGTTATAGTCCCACGTCAAAGGAGTCACCTTGGCGACGATATTCCCTCGCAGGGCGAAGATTCTCAGTCGCGAAGCCACACGTGCTCACTTCGGGCAGTGCTGCCCCACTTTCCCAGGGACCTCCTCTCCGATCTCACCCCCAGAGCCTCTCCTCCTGCCGCCGAAAACCTTCCTCAAAAACAGCGTCCACTGTAACCACGTCCTAAGCCACAGTCGTCGTGTGAATCCTCCCGCAAATAATCATCTCACCACTCCCCGATCTATCCCTCGGCCTCACGGCCCTGGACCTCCGGAGAGTCCATTCGCCGGGGAGGCGTCCCAACGCGTGCCCACTCCCACTCCCCAGGTCGCTCTCCCGGGAGGCGAGCCTCCCCGGCGGAAGTTCCTTCCCTCCCAGGACCTCCACCGGAGAGCCGTCGCCAGGTCCGCGGAGCAACCTGCGTCCCGACTCCCGAGGGATCCCTCCTTCGGGAGTCGTCCCTCCCGGAGGAATCACAGGAGTCCCTGGCAGGCTCCGGGCGTCCCGATGGGTCCCTCCCAGAAGATCGGCGTCCTCGCAGCGACTGCCCCGGTGGTCGCACGGGATGCGACCTCCCCTGTTCTCGGCAACGGGTGCCCTCACCACCTCGGCCGGGCGCCCCGCGCTGCCGCGCTCCCCGGGTAGCTCCTCGGCCGGCCCCGGCAGGCTGGTGCGCCGTGCGAGTCCGCGCGACCCGCGAGCAGCGGCCTCCCGACCCTCAGCGATGGGTGTGAACCGGCGGCTCCCTCTCTCTGCCGGTCCTCCATCTTTCCTCGGGAATCACGGGCCGGATCATTTCTTCCCGTGCAGCGCCGCGTGTCGCCCCCTCCACCGGTGGCGAGGCTCTGCGCGCGTGCCGGCCCCGGTCGCGCCTCTCGCTTCGACTCGCCCGCCGCGCCTGGCGGCGTCTCGCTCCCCCCCACCCGACCGCCCGCCGCTCCCCCGCGCCCGGACTCGCGCCGCCAGCGCCGAGCGCGGCGCGCTCCCCAACTAACCGGAACCTCGAGACGCTCCCCGAGAGCGAATCTCCCGCGGCCGCGGCTCCGGTGGCTTTGCGAGTCTCGCCGAGCCGAAGGGCGGCCGGCAGTCTTTCTCTCTATCTCTCTCGCTCTCTCTCTCGCGATCACCCCGACCGCTTCCGGCTCCAGGGTGGGGAGCGCGACAGAGAGACTCGCTCGGGGCGAATTTAGAACGGGACGCCGACGCCAATGGGGGCGCACGAGAGAGAACGACCGACCCCGGCCCCCTACGATGGAGCGAGACCTCCGCCGCTGGACCGAGAGGGATGCTGCCGACTCGACGGAGAGACAGAGACGGCCGCCGGAGATCAATATAGGGGACGGCGCTCTGCTCGCGGACCGGTCCCCCCCCCCCCGACCCCCAACCCCTAGGCCGAGCCTGGCCGCACGCCTATCCGAATAACTGCGCGTCCGGCCTGCACGCGTGCCTGTTCTACTGGCCGAGAGACGCGGCCTTGCCGATTCCTCTTGGTCGAGGACGATACAGAGTCGAGGAGGATTGGGAGACGTTTTGTTGAGAGGCCTTTAAGTAACATAAGTGCGTTTTATGGAATTTTTAGTTACATCCGGACATCGAATTTTCGATGATCTAACGATGTTATCGAGGAGGATTGGGAGACGTTTTGTAAGGAGGCATTTAAGTACCATAAATCCGTTTTATGGAATTTTTTAGTTACACCCGGATATCGGATTTCCGATGATCTAACGATGCCAGCGCTACTTGCGGGGAATATAGGAATTATGACTGAAACGCTCTCTTGCGAGGTAAATAACATATATCGCTTTTAAGCTTCGGATTAAGGCTTTCATCGTGCTATGATTTTCAGCGCATGTTGTAAAGATTGCGATCTTTTTTGTATGTGAAAGGATACGGGGGTGGGCGATGACTTTTAATTGCAAAGTTTCACCGCAGGGGCGCTCTCGGCGCTGGATCAGCGAAAATTCAAGAGCTTGGACACTTAAAGGGACTTCGATATATCGCGTTATGTCTCCTTAGACTACTTTGTGGACTAGGCTAGACTCTGGATAATAAATAATGTTTCCGGATCGCTTGGAACTTCTTTTATCTATGTTATTTATCCTCGGGTCTTTCCTTGTTGAAGTTCAGTTAACGGAAGCGCGTTAACAAAGACTTCTTGGGATATGAATAACAGGCGTCACTCTTCCGATGTTTCCTTCGCTATTGTGGCTTTCGAAATTCCGTTAAGCAGTATTATTCTTCTTCTCAGGCAAATTATACGGAAGCGTATTAGCAGCGCGTTGTTGTCGAGGGAACTCGCGCCGTTGCTCATCTTCGCGGCTATCGGTGCCGAATAGTTTTTCCGGCGAGACGAGAAATAAAGCGGAATCCGTGTCCCGAAAGGACGAGGCATCCTTCTCGAAAGAACGATGCCACTCGGCGTAAATATAATCCGCATTGTTGCGAGCGATATCGCGGCGGCTGCGTTCCCCGAAAATGAATGACTCCCTTTCCGGGACTAACCGCCGGATAGATCTGGGGGAAGATAGAAATGGAGAAGTAATATAGCTGGGGGAAGGAAGGAGTAGATTTGGAGAATGGCGGGAACCGGGCGCAATAAAGGCGAAATGGATGCAGGAGAGGGACGACGTAGGGAAATAGGGGTATAAACGGAGGAGGAAGTAGCGAATACGAGAAACACCGAAGCGCGCGAAATGGGAAAAACAAACATGGCGGCGGAGTGGACCGCGTATCCCGAAAACCGACGCATCTTGCCTGGACTCCTAGGAAATTCTCGACTTTTCTATTACTTACATACGGTGTGTAGTATTTTAAATATTGCATTGTACTGGACAATTTATAATGAAAGACTAGGAATTTGATTTTATATTGCGAAGGTCGGGTTTTTCGTTCCGGCGTTTCTGAAATCGCGATGAAGCGGTGCTTGGTGGAAAAAAAGTGAATACGAAAGTAATGAATATTATATTATATTGTATTATATTGTACAGTAGCGAAAGACAAGGAGTTTGATTTTGTATCGCGAAGGTCGGGTTTTTCATTCCGGCATTTCTAAAAATGGCGATGGAGCGGTGCTCGGCGGGAAAAAAATGAATACGAAAGTAATGAATATTGTATTATATCGTATTATATTATATTATATTGTACAGTAGCGAAAAACATGGAATTTGATTTCGTATTGCGAAGGTCGGGTTTTTCGTTCCGGCGTTCCTGAAATCCCGACGGAGGCGGTGCTCAACGGAAAGAAGTGAAACAACGAAGGTGTAACTAGGTCGGCCGGTGGCGGCGGCCGAACTCGAGCGGAAGACGCATCCGTGGGTGAAGGAGGAAGACAAGGGTGAAGCGGCTAGAAGGTGCGACGAGCGAAAGGGTCAATCGCGAGACAAGGATCGAACGGTAGAGGGTGCAGGTGAGCGCAACTGGGCGCTCGATCCCATCCGCGGAATGTGGGGCAAAGGCGTGATCCGAGAACGTTGCCTCGATCGCGACGCCTTCGTCGGGGGTTCTGCAAGTCGGCAGCTCGACGGCGCAAAGTTCCCCTTCAGAGAACGGCTGACTTCGGATCTCAGGGAGTCGTAATTAACGCGGCTTGCCGCTCGATCTGAAATAGGAAATATGGAGGAAAGGAGCGATTTGCGAACGGCACCCTAAGAACGGTGCGCCGATAATTAAGCACCCCCGGAAAACCTGCAAGTCGGCGTCGCGGCGCCGTGAAGTTGCCCCGCTTCCGACTAACATGAATTGCGGTTGACTCGGTCTTAATTAGCGCGGTTTGTCTTCGATTCCACGTATGAAATATAGGGCAAAGGTGCGATCCAACGACTCCCCGGTAATGGCCGATCGCGGACCGCCACTGATAAGTCTGCAAGTCGGCAGCGCGGCGCCGTGAAGTTGCATCCGCTTCCGACTAGCTTCAGACCGCGGTAGGTCTTAATTGGCGCGGCTCGCACGCCCGTACGAAAACACTCGTGGCCGAGAACGGGGAATGTAAACCACTCGTGAAAATGGCGCGGACGCTTCAATTTGAGGACACTTAGTTCTGACTTGTTGCTCCCCCGCGACTGGGGCGTCGCGCTAATTGTGTCTGCGGGCGTTGCGCTCTTGGGAAGGCCATGTTCGAAAAGCGCGGCGTCCTCCCTCGGGCGACCAAGAGGACGGCTTTTCTCACCTAGTGGATAAACAAATTAGTACCCGTGAGAAAACGTGAATCGCGGTACTCGGCTGAATACATACTTTACGAGCCATAAATGTCTACTTCCTATCTCCTGCATTTAGTAAGTTCTTGTCCCTGATCGCTCCTCGACGATCGACCTTACCATTGCCCTGGCGAGTTTTAAAAACGTTATCAGCCCATGGGAATTACCCCTTTATCTCGGACACCACTGCTGCTATCTTACAGCTCTTGCGAGAACTATTAAGCCGAAAGGGAGAGCCGCCCGGGAAAGCGTATCCGCGTTTAACGATAGAAGCTCATATCTTTTTCTGGAGCAGTTCGCAATTGGCTCGCTAGATGGTGTTACCGTCAATTAACAATTGATAACGATTGATAACAATTGCCGGGCTTTCCAGAAAGTACCCAGCCCTACGAAACTGACTTTCCTGACTTTTACCGTATTTCTTCCCTTGACCGATTCTTCAGAACGAGAGCAAGAGGTTTTTCACGGGTTAAATTGTATCGATAATGTCTAAGGTATACAAATTAGATATTAGGGGTATATAAAACGATGCCATTATAGGCGGTCAATCCCATTTTAGAAATGTCTCCCCTCGGGGAAAACGCGCGAGGATCGTACAAGCGAGACGAAGAACAAATTCGATGCCCTACGGGCAGAAATCCATGATCCTTGTACGGCGGCATTGTTGTTACATTGCGAGGAACAACCAGTTCTTGTATCGGCCGTGGCAGCTCTGGCGAAATTCGGTACCAAGGGGTACGACAATCTGGAAACGTTGTTTGACCTGGAAATATTAGAAAGCGTGATGCCACTGATCGAGCACGAAGACGTGTTCACCAGAAGGTACGATCCAGAAATTATTTATTATTATCAGCATTATCCCTTAAAAGCTCAAGGCACTTTTGACCCCTGCGTGGATATTTATCGTCCAGATTTGCGACGAAGCTCCTTGCAGAAATGGCCGCAGTTCCTGCCGTAAAGAATTACCTGCTGGACTCGGAAAATTACATTCCGCACTTCCTGAGGATCCTCAACGCCGACTCGGACACCTTTATGCAGGAATTTTCCTCGTTAATTCTCACCGAGCTATCCAAAGACGCGTACGGCTCTGCTCAGCTTCTGAAACAGTGTCCAGACTTCACGTTTCTGTGCGATAGAATTCAGTCCCACGATCCTGATATAAAGAAGAACATCATCGAGATGACGTACAACTTACTGCAAGATCCTCTGGCGGCCCAGGAAATCATCTCGTCTAAGGTCAGTGGTCGTGAGAAATAGCTCCGTAATTTTAATAAGTAACCTTTTCCCAGCTCCAGTAAAAGGATACATAGCATATTCCCGTAGAGTGCCTCCTTCCTTTCGCAGAATTTTAACTTTTCCTTAATTTACGAGCTCTACGAGCAACCTTACCCCATAACTCAAAGTCTGGCCCTCGGGGTCGTGGAGGCTCTGGTTGCGAGATGTAAGGACGAAAATATTCAGGAGCAGTTTCGTGCCACAGGAGGCTTGCAAGCATTGCTCAACATCCTGGATGTAAGACAAGAAGAATTCCCAACACGTGCCGAGACTAATTCCACCGAATTCTCTTCAGAAAGACGAGTGGGCAGATCTGCACGGCGAGGCGCTGAAGATATTAAACTTGGCTGCAAATAATCAGAAGACCCTGGAGACTCTAAACGGCATAGGCGGGATTTTGCAGCTCTTCAAGTACATGGAGAACGCTCCCAATTCGAAAATACTCACTAGTGCCTTGGATATAATCGTTAGCTTGGCGAACACCGCGATTGGTCGAAAGGTGCTTAGCGAAGTATAACGCGTACCTTCTCGTTCGCCAGTAATTAATTGTTATCCCTTCAAGGCGTTGCATAATTATGGAATAGTCGAGTACCTGCTGAGCATCTTACGCGACTCGATACACCCTGACGCTTATGGGGTATGCTGTCTTGGAATTGGGAGGATGGCTCGTTATATTCCTGCTGGCGAAGAGCTGACCCTCGAGAACCCTATTAAAAATATCATCAGTAATTGTCTCGCCACTTCCTATACATACTAGCGAGTAGAAACGTCAATTGTCACCTGTTATTACATTAGATATCCTGATGAACGAAAACATGACATGGGACACGAGACATGCGGCAGTCTTCGCCTTGAACGAGTTATTCGCGTCTAATTACAATAACTGCCAAAATATGCTGGATATACAGGGCCAGGTAGAAATTGCATATACGTTTCGTTGGTTTATGTAATAATAGGTTTAAATTATTAAGGATTGTCTCCTGTGGCTGGTTCGGCATTCGGAAAAGGTTCCAATCGACGTGCAAATCACGGCTCTTCAAGCTCTAGCAACCTTATCGAGCTATCCAGAGTTGAAGAATCGATTGATAAACGTTGAAACAATCGAAGCCCTCTACTCGTCATTTCAGGTAAACCTCTTTAATTGCTTGAAACAGTCTAAATATCTTTCAAGTACCAGTGATGTGACGTTCAGCTTCTTCTTCCGTAAGTCTTCAGATTCGCACACTGCCGAACTGAAAATGACATGCTGCGAGGTATTGGCTAAGCTATGTATAGAAAAACCAGCGAGAGCAATTTTTATCAACACAAATGGTCCGACGAAATTGCACGACTTGCTCATCAACAATAATTCCATGCCTGTCAGGGATGCAGCTGCACGACTTATTCAACAATTATGCGCCGATCCTTCATTAGCATCCATATTTGTACAGACTGACACTCTGCAATAGTGAGGCAGTATCTCTGTAACATAAAATCGGAGTCAGGAAAAAGCGTCAAATAGATCATTAGTATTAACAATAAATAATAACATTTTCTAGCTTGCTCAACAATCGATCGAATTCAAAAGCCATTCCCTCGTGGGACATTTGCATAGATGCCTTGTTCAGGGCGAATTTGCCGGTTAAATTTGCCTTCACGAGACGTATTTCGTTACACGATGTCACTCGAGATGGCTTCTACGTTATGAAACGAATCAGCTGTCCGTATGTTATCAAAATATTCGGCAGAATGTTATGATAAAACATGACCGTCGAACCGAGCAAGCGACCAGGAGGCCGCTTGCTAATAATCCTAAACCCGATTTAGATTCCCGGTATTGGATGAATTATTTAAACTAAAACTGTGCCCCATGGAGCCAGTTTACGTGGTCAACTTTACTAAACCTCGAACCAGCACCATGGACCTCGCAAATGGTGACTAGAATTTAAATCACTGCTCGTGAGCAAATTGAAAATGTCCTGCACGACTTACCCTTCAAGTTATGTACTTTCAGAGATGAGCAAAACGAGTCAAGGATCCAAGAAAAGAGAGTCCATGAATACCACCCTGGAGATGAAATTTGGCAAATTGCAGCCGGACCCATTCCTTTGCGAATATCTGGAGTTGTTCAAGTGCAAGCTTAAAGCCTGCGAATCTATTGACACGTATTAAAAAAAAATAATGGCATTAATATCATCTTTAGTAGACATAAGATGACTTGTAATACATTTTCAGAATAGATGACGAGGAGAGTAAAATTGTTAACATAAGGTTCATCCGGTCGAGGGCGAAGATGTTAGGTACTTTTGTGGCACATCAAATGGCAGGTCCTGATCCTTCCAACCGATGTCTCGATCATCAGCTAGAGCTGCATCTTAACGAGATCAAGGAGGACCTCGGGACGAGTATCATTCCTCTTGGTCAATTGCGGGTCGGCTTGCACTTGGAAAGGGCCTTACTCTTCAAAGTGCTCGCCGACAGAATTTGCTTGCCCGCTGCTTTGGTTCGCGGGGAATATGGTGGCAAAACGTGGATAGAAGTGGCCATACCAGAGGTACATCTTTGAAATATCTGAAATATCAGATACACCTAGTACATTATTAACTTTACGACAGGACGAGTCTTCATTGGCAGAGGATGGTCCTTCTAACAAGAACTCCGCCAAGACGAAAAATCGTTTAAAGAAATCTGACACAACATTACCTCTAAATGGAAGTCAACCTAATTGTGACGTAACTACAAATCGCGAGTCCACGCCTTTGAACTTCAGGCAATTCGAATTCCCCACAAAATTACTCAGACCTAATTACATAGTCGACTTGATGTACAATCCTGGCAGTCTGATTCCCATGAATAGTCCTTTAGCTGCGACATACTGCGGAAGTTGAACACTTGAACGGTATCCTAATTATCGGAATTATTTACGTTTCAAGGAATAAATACTTAATTTGGAAAGCCCACGTCTCCAGATTACATCAATATTGCTTTGGAAAGAATTAGAGAAGACCCGATAGTCGATACGTATTATATTTTTGGCCGTTAGAAGGAATTACAATGTTCTAACCGTGTGACCATCCAAGAAGTCATCCGCGTAGGTAGTGAAAAATGAAAAACGATATTTACATCAGTTCCTACGGAGTGCACTTGTCTAACTCGTCATCTGCCGGCGAATAGAATTATTCAAACAAGAATCTCGTCCATTTGTAACGACATAAATAGCGTTATTGTAACATCGACTCGGCCTTAAAATACAGCGAGAATGAAAAATCTCCCGGCATATTCTTCGGCTCCCAAAATATCTGGAATTATAAACGAAGCCACATCGAGCCATTGCTTGAAACTACGTAGAAAACACTCATCCCGACGCTAATGACTATTAGAACTAACTTTGATATACATGCTTGTACGCCATACAGCTAAACAGAGATTACAACAATAAGACATCCAGGAGACGCGTAGATAGTCGTTGAACGAACTCCAGTGAACTGTGGACACTCTTTCAGAAGCCATATCGAATATGCAACATATCTGCACCACCCACTGACTACTGCGGTTGTTGTGGTTGTTGTGGTTGCTGCGGTTGCTCCTGCGGTTGCTCTTGCGGTTGCTGTTGGTGTCTCTGTTGCTGCCGAGAATCTCCGAGTTTAACGAGGCCGAAAAAGCTCTTGTCCTTCTGGAAGAGCGTGTACCGAGCCGGACCGACGTCCTTCAGGACCAGATGATCACCAGCTTGCAGAAGAGCAGCCTGAGCTGAGAAACAGGAGCGGCTCTTGTGTCCTGTGCCAGGGCTGTAGATCTACAAGAAATTCAATCGGATCCATTATCCATATCAAGTCATCAACGGTTTCTCTACGAATATCCAGAAGCCTCACCATGCACTGGAGAATCGGCCTGCCGTTCACCAGGACGTGAAAGCCGTTTTCGTCGTGCTCGTCCAGGTAGTGAATCTGTGCATAGACCAGGTAAAGCCCGGCCTCGTGGACGGAGAGCCTGCCCCCCTGATTCAGGGTGAAGTATCGGTTCATCCCGAGGGACTCCACCCACTCGCTGGGCCGCCAGGCCTTGAAGACGCCGTCGTTGTGTCTAGCCCTGCCGTTCCCGGTGTGCTCATCCTCGTCTGAAAAGAGGCTACTGTCCGCACCGTAATGAACCGCGTAAACCTGCCGAGGGGCTCGCAAATGGCGCCGCGACATTCCCCGCCGTTGCAGCTCTGAGCTCTACGCGAATATATGCGACATGTCACATTTAGTTGGTCAACATCCGGTGAAACCTCCCTCGTCGGACCGCGCGAGGCACCTCTACGTCCGCTCACCTGTACGACCTTACGTTCCCCTTCTACACGGAATTCCGCAGTCAAATCCTGAGAAGTCCTTTCCCTAGGTCCAGACCTCTCGCTAGCTCCTCGAGTGGACATCTTATCACCGTGATCCACGTGGTGACCTCGTCGGGATACCGAGGTGGTGGCTGGCCTGCTCAGAGCCAGGTACTTTTTCGGAGGATGTTTCTCGTGAACGCTGCCGATCCTGGAAATTGCAACAAGAAGTGAGCCAAAGAACTCCTCTGTGGTCCTCGTAATCACGTCCAGGCTGAACTATCAGCCTTGAAGAGGGGACCTCACCTGCGACCGACGTCTTTTCGGGGACCAAGAATCCCTTCCTGCGCGAGTATCTCGTAAAGTCGAAGCCTCGAAGAGGCGTCTCTTCCAGTGTGATTCGTCTTCCAGGATGACACCCTTCCGGTGTAATTCCCATCCATCGAGTAAGCCGAGGAGTAGATGGGAAGGCCCGTTTTGGTGCGACCTATGGGAGCTTCCCGAGGGATCGAGCGCTTCTTCTTCGCTCCAGAATCTTCCGGGTCGTCCTGAGATCTTCTTTGGTGTTTCTCCCCCTCCTCTAGGTGGCTTCCTCCTTCGGCACTCTTCTGACTCTCTCTAGGACCCTTCTCGAACTCCTGTTCGCGTTTCGCCTCGACCTTGCGCAGAGCTACCAGCACTTCTTCTAGGTCCTTTTCGGACCCTGGAGTCCCTGATGAACCTCCGGCCTCTACCGAGGCGGTCCCGGGGAACTCCGAGGGCCTGGTCCCGTAACTCGATGTGTGGTAATCTCCGGAATAATCCTCGTAATTCGCGTCGTAATCAGTGCTCTCTATATCGGCTTCTCCTGGGTCTTCCTCGCCGTTCTCCTCCTCGGTGTACAGCTGGAAAAGGAATTGAAAGATTTAATTTTCATCTACAAATTTGAACAAAAATAATCTATGATAATTATTAATTACTACATGATTATTAAGAATTAAATCTCTTCCTAATGTACCCCTTGGAATGTATCGCGACTCGATGCGCGAATTCCCGAAGCTAATTTATCCAATCTGCCGAAGCGGTCTCTTCGTTTCCAAGGAATGTCGTCTTTAATTATGATCATCGGCACGAATCGAGCCTGCAAGGGGAATTATTGTCTCTTAATGGTTTCCTCGTACCCGCGAGTAGGAATCGCAAAGGTCGTTGCGAAACTTGCGGATTCCGGCCGACACGTACTTGGTGTCGCTATCGCGGGCGGAAAGTTAATCACTAGATTATAATAATTCCAAGAGCGATCTACGTCGACGGGACTTTCTTTTCTCTTTTTCGTCGATTGTTATACGAGAATCCAGACGACGACGTTCGCGGGAATTCTTAATTGCGTATTAAGGATCGAGGAAACGATCCTCCGACTGTGCACTTTATGCACTTTATCACTTGACGGTGGGACGATTCAAATGGAAATCAAGTTCGCCAGGTCGACGAACTCGTTATTTTCCTCGAGCTCCTCCTTCCTCGAGTTTGATTTTCGCTCGATCAAGCAATCGTGATAAAGGTCTCGACAGAGCATCGATAACCAGTTTCCGGACGATTAATCGCGACTCGAGATCCTTGGGTGCACTTGCAGGAATTAAAGTAACGACTTGTCGCACTTGGCAGGAGAATGGAGATTTCTTCGAGTTCTGAAAAGCCCCGGATTTCGGAAATTTCCTGGCCTAGAGGAAGTTTCGAAACACGGATGCCCCTCTGCCAGCGAGCTCTCGAAAAGTCCTTCCAAAAAGTGGGCTTATTTTCCCAAGACAAGGAGGGACACCGTTATCGGCCAGAAAGCAAACTCCGGATTTTCCAGCCTTTCCCGGTACCCGTTTAACGACCGTTTACGAGTCGAGATCGCCGCAAGCGACTTTCTACTTCGAAACGCAAACCCCGTAATTATCGGCACGAGATAACGCGTCCGCTCACGAAAATTCAAACGAATTCCCATAAAACTGCCTCTCCTAAATAATCGTGGGATTCGAGGGGCTATCCACCCTTAAATCAGTTGAAACGATTTACTTATTTGAGAACCGATTGCCTTTGCTCTAATGCAATGAACAACAACGTGATTCGATAACCAGTAACGATCGTTCATAAATTCTGACAATATTTCCCTGATTTTCAACGACTTCCAGTAATTTCCTACTCGCAATTTCCACGTGGTTTCGAGGATTAAAATTCGAAATTTCCTGGGTGAATCTTTCGGTGCGATTATCATTAACGAAGGGAATAAAAATTATTAGAAATGGACCGTCGCGATGCGTGGAGCCTAGAATACAGACGGCATTCTCAGGACCGAATACAGCGTCGCAGTTTATTTATAATTAATCTCTATTTCGGGCAGAAGTATCCCTGACGAGACAGGCTCTCCAACGTCCCAGCAATGACAGGAGGAATTGGACGAAATTGACGCGAGCGCGACGAAACGCAATTAAAATGCTCAAAGAGAAATGGCGGAGTTCCTGCCCCACCTAGTTCGCTCTTAATCGCCTCAATTGGCAGCCCTTTTCTCGCTTATTTAACCCGAAGCGAGCCGAAGCTCCTTGGAGCCGCTTCGACACGCTTCTTCGAATGATGACATCTAAGTGGAGCCTCGTGCGTGCAGTAAGTGCCCGGCAAGCGGCAATTTCCTCTTTAAACCCTTTCCTCGTCTTTTTTCCTCTCCGCTCCGCTAATACCGGCCCTCGGTCGTTTTCGCCCGAGAAAGGCCAATGCACTCACGGAGGCGCAAACGGCCGCTGAATTCCTTCCAAAATTCTTCACCAAATTCTCGGCGAAATCCCCCCAGGATTCCTGCGCGTCTCGGAAAGCCCACGATTCTTAGAAATACTAACAGCATGCGTTGGTACCAAAGCAATAATCTAATACAGCAATTCTTAGGAATACTAACTGCATGCGTTGATACCAAAATAATAATCTAATACAGCAATTCTTAAGAATAGTAACAAGCATGCGTTGGTACCAAAGCAATAATCTAATACAGCAATTCTTAGGAATACTAACTGCATGCGTTGATACCAAAATAATAATCTAATACAGCAATTCTTAAGAATAGTAACAACATGCGTTGGTGCCAAAGCGATATTCTAATACAACAATTTTTAGGAATACTAACAGCATGAGTTGGTACCAAAGCAATAATCTCATACAGCAATTCTTAGGAATACTAACAGCATGCGTTGGTACCAAAGCGATAATCTAATACAGCAATTCTTAGGGATACTAACTGCATGCGTTGATACCAAAGCGATAATCTTATGCAGCAATTCTTAGGAATACCAGGAAGACTCGCCTGCTCCTCGAAGGCCTTGAGCTCGTTGAGGAGGTCCTCCTCGATGAACCTGTGTTTGAGACCCTCGACGTCTCTCCTGAGGACCTCCAGCTCTCTCGTGTTGTCCAGAACGGTTCGCAGCTTCCAGATCTCCAGAGCGAGGCAGATCGAGGCCAAGATCAGGGCTCCGACACTGGCCAGGGTGTTTCCATTCAAGCGGCTCATCCGGCCTCCACGACTATTCCTGAGCCCCTTTTTCTTCGCGCCCTGCTCCAGCTCGGAGTCAGAAATGCTGAGGTTCTCCCTGGAGAAGTTGAGGAAGGACAGCGACTCATCGCCTCCGGGATCGTTACACTTCTTGCCCCTGCTTGCCTTGTTGTCCTCCTCGGGCATGATGGACGTCATCTTCGGATCCAACGATGATCTACCTCGGGTCAAGGGATCGCAAGGTTACAACTCGCCGATCTGGACGAAGTTCCCCGGTACTCGATTATACGAAATCTGAGATTATGTTAAAAACTCCGACTCACGAGACCTAAGTCGAGGTGACTCCGCTGGTGGTTCCTTCCTTGAAGTGCCTTTCACCTCTCGTCGAATTTCGGGAGCGGTGTCATCATCTAGTGGCGCTTCGTGGGCGAGTTCTCGTGCCTAGGATAGCTCCGGAGGAATGACCTCCTGGACTCTGAGACTTTTTTTAAATATCCCGCAGAGGGACTTCCTGTCCGGGCAGTCCACGGATTCTGGAACGCCGATTATCTGAATTCTGTAAGCACCCAAAGTTCTAGCTCAACCTCGCACCGACGCTCTGATGAACTTCATGGTGCACCGCAAAGTATCACCAAATCTCCAGCTATCGTCCTTCCACTCTTCGAGCCATGTCAAGGCTCCTAGGTTCCGCCTCCCGAATTTCAAGCCCCACTTCTTCGGATCGGATGCACCGTCCCTGGCAATTGGTTCCACTCGATCTCATAAAATCCCTCGAATCTACGAATCACTGGGAAAAAAAAACACCAAGAATTCACCGTGAAGTATTCACGTCAAGGCTTAACAATCATCAACCACTTCGCACTCACGTAGTAGACCAGACAAGGATCTCCCTCGCGTTCCCTCTGTTCATCTCGTCCCATTCTTCCGTCGCCGTTTCCTCGTCATCCCGCAAACCGGGTTTCCTTCGTGGCTATAAACTTCCGCATAAAATATCGCAAATGTAGAGGAATAAAGTTCGAGGATCACGCAACGCGTGGCGCACGACCGGCCGGTTAAATGTCCACTGGGTAACTCCGAAGCGCTCGCCCCTTTAAAACCTGCCGGGTAGGTTTCTTCGAGCCGACTCGCCGAGAGCCCGGCCACGCCTCTTGCGTCTCTTTCTATCTTGCGGGCCCCCGATAGCGGCGTCTCTTTCTCCCCACGGTCGCGGTCGCGGCCGCGCTCTTCCCTCCGCCGATCCGAGCCCACCTCCTCTCCCCGCTTTCCTTCGGTGATTCCTCCAATCGACTCGATTTCCTTACACCTGCGCGATATCGATCGATATCGCTACATCATTAACAATTCAATAATTACGGAAAACGCACGACAAATGCCGCCGATTAACGCCTCGAATTTCTACATAAGAAATGGTATAAAAGGATTGTTTGCGCCTATCGCGATGGACCTTGAGGAAATCCATCGAATTATGTATCTTATTATAAATGGTTATTATTAAGGTGATATGAAAGAGTCATTCTATATGTATATAAAACATCAAAATATGTATCAAACTTTTCTACTAACTGGATGAACCGAATCGTTGGAAACTTCAAAATATTATTATGAAGAACGTGGTGCTCGTGAAATTTAATTTCTAATAAAAAAAATATTTTTTATTTATACCAGACTAGAACCATGAATAGATATTTTTTGTTTATGAAGAATTAAATTTCACAAGCACAATGTTCTTCCTTAGAGCCTCCATAATCACGTGTTGAAGTTTCAAATGATTCGGTGCACCCGGTTTGGAGAGATGTTTTATGAATATTTTTACGTTTTATCTATATAGAATGACCCTTTCATATCACTTTAGAAGTTCTCGAAGCGATGAGGGGGATTCGCTAAATTGATAGATGTAGGTATGTTGATCAGCAGAGAAAAAGGTGGCTCGGTTTTGTCAACTTTGGCTTGAGCGAAATGAGTTCTCTGCGTGGTTCTTCTTCGGTGTTGGACGCGTCGTGGGTCCTCCAAGGTCTTCGACATAGGCCCAGGTAGAAACGGGCGAGGCTACATTTATTTTTCGCCGCTTCGGCATTGACTTCGCCAAAAAGAGACGACGGTTTGACCTGGATACCGGCCGGCCATAGGTCGACCTATCGAAATACCCCCACCGCTCCTGGAAAGAAAGATTTCTCGTAAAAACAATAATTCAAAGAATTCGGCTCACCAAAGTAGATAAAATACCTCTGAATAATTCACTCGGCCGCTTCGCGTTCGGCCCCTTCGACGGATTTTGTACTCCCGTTGGTCCGCCATCTTTGTTTCGATCTGGCGTCCTCTCAAGCCCACCTTTTTTTTTCGATTTAAAAATAAATCACCAGAAAGGAGATTTCTATGGCTTGGAACTCCTCTCGTGGCCACTCACTCGTATCCTTACTTTCACGAACGGTCCGACTAAAAGTCAAGGGAAAGGAAAATGTTAAAAGTAAAACGGCGCTCCTTTAACGCTCAATCTTTCGAAGAATCCGGCGTAAAGGAAGACGCGTCTAACGACCCGCGCCCTTTTTCGGCAGTCTGCAATTTTCGACGCATAAAACTAACCTGAGGTCAGTGCGTCGCGCACTTCCTTTCGTGGAAACGAAAATTTTAACGTACGCCTCACCTGCGTCTGCTTAATGTAAAACACGAAAACGTCTAACCTGAGACTCGAGAATCTCGCATCAGGGGTTCTCATGTTAAAAGGTCTTTCAACTACGTCAAGATACTTAGTAAACTTATGCGTACAATGTAAATTTTCACTTGACCCAGCAGAATTTAACGAACTGATTCACCCGACACTAAAATAAAAAAACAAGATGGCGAACCGTTACATGGTACACCTTTCACTCATCGTTATTTCGCCCTATCGAATAATTATTTCCTTGCTCGATACATCTAAACACTGCCTTACAAAAAAGAGCCACCCGGTATCTCTCCAACATGCAATCCATTCAGTCCTACGTGGCGTAAATACCAGATAAACGTTCATTCATAAAGATATATGTCAAGCGCTACATTTCAATATGGCGGCTCTAAGTACCCTCCGCTTGAGGGATTAAAATTTCAAATATGAAATGCAGTCAATGAAGGTCTATATTCCGACTTATCCGAACGATTTCGCATGTTAGCAGCTCTTAGTTAAACCGAGTAGCGTCTCAAGTAGGAGGCAGGGAAATAACAAAGGGACTAAAAAAATATTCCATCCCACCACCCGCGCCATTTTGGTGGTCGCGGCACGCCCGCGGGATTTGAAACTAGACCCGCGTCGCGTCTTAAATCGCGCGGTTTCCTCAAAGTGGAGGGTCCTTTTCTTTCTTTCTTTCTTCGGAGAGTTTGCAGCCGAAGGCGTTTCGCCATAGAAGGTTGGCAACGCTCGTTATCTCGCGGTCATACTGGAGCGCTTTGGAGGGCGCTTTGTGGGCGCGAGTCGAGCGCGAGAGGCGAACCGCTCAGCGGCAGAGCGGTTCCGTTGGCTCGTTGGAAAGAAAGGAAGGAGAGTCGCGCGTCGCGCCACTCGACTAAGGTAAACAAAAGACGCGGTCCTCGGGTCAAGTTCAGATGAAGTGCTCGAAAAGCCTTCGCGAGCTCGCCAAAATGTCGACCGGGTGAGTGGAATGCGCGCTCGGCCGGAAGACGTGGAATAATATTTTGCTGACGGCTATCAAAAGATGTCTGATAAAAAGTTGTCTTCCAACGGGTAATTGTATCTTGAGGAGGAGTTGCGCCGCGGCCTAAAAAGTGTGGATTTATGTCGATTACCTGTAAGCTGTAAATATATGTTGATAAACAATCGGTAAATGGATGTTACAACACTTCTACCATGTTAGTCGACAAAGAATATGATATTAATGGTTATTAATTTGTTTAAATTGTTGGATGCTTTGTCGGAGGGAGGCGATTAGGCCTCATTTGTAAACTGTATGATGCATTTAATTTATATGGGTTTTATGTGGACGTTGCATGTGCGTTAGTCCTATTTCATGAGGTTCGATGGGTTTTAGATACCTTCTCACTGGCCGGAATGTCGTAAGCACGAGAGAGTCAAAGGAATATTAAATAGCCAATGGTCGGAGCAACCAGACTGTCGTTGACTCCTACGTCCTGGGATTAAAAGTGGGTTCATAGATAATTTGACGTTATCTAACGAACTGATCGTCGCTTTAAGTATTCCAGGAAACTGTAAGTTGTCAATACTTAATTGTCATTTGATATGTATAATTTGTTTGTGCCAGTAAATTCATGAGAGTCTTAACCTATCTAATAAATGTTATGGAAAATTATTAATATTCCAGTGACCCAACAAGGAGGACAGGATGTTACAAGACACCAAAGAGAAATCTTTAGGGAGCTACACTTCGGTCTACTTAACGTACCCTGCGGAAATGATTCCAAATGTCGAATGGAACGTGAACATGAATCTAAGACTTCCGAGTCTCAAGGGAACAAAAATTTTTCAGCGGACACAAAGATTACTTAATTTTGTTTTAGTTGTTCTGTTTCTCATTGCAGTATCTTATCTGCAGAGGGAAGTGCGAAGCTTGCAAGTAAAGGTAACGTTTCATATATTTCACAATAGAGAATAAATTTATCCTGGGTGTATCAAAGAGATTTCATAAACACTGCACTTTAATCGTGGTAAATATTTACCAAACAATGAAGTAATTAAATTTCTAACTTTGAGATGTGTTTGGCACTTAGGGGTAATAACTTCAGCATTCTAGTTATCGGATATAGGTCATCTTTCAATGTTCACGTTTCTTCCAAGCCATTAACAAAGAGCACGTTTTTAAGATAAACACATATTAGGTTACAGCACGAGTCACACGATTGTGCAAGGTTGCATTCCCCACAGTGATAATGTTTTCATTTTCTTGTATGTGCATGACCTTATTTACGATGCATGAATCAGTGCTCTTTCTAAACCAGTAACTGGGTGAATAACGTACTCGTACGTGCGAACATGGCACCCAATATTTTATAAAAATGCTTCCTTTCAGGTGCAATGCGTGAATGAAAATCTAATGCTTCTGATGATCAAATATGACCGACTGAACAGAAACTTGAACAGAGTTTGGTTTCATCGGGCATACGATAAACTTTACGAGACGACTGCTGGAGTTTACACGCAACACAGTACCCAGAACCCGCAGGTAGTGCCTCAGGAAATACAGAATACTATCAAGTCCCAAACCGTACATGACTCTAGTCCGAATGATGCGCATGCACAAAACAATGTTAATGGAAACCAATCTGATATAGTCAGTAGCGACGTAAGCATTAGCAGTACTTCTGTAGTGCGTACCAATGGCAATAATAGTGGTGATCGGAGAAACGAGACAAAATGGGAAACGGATGACAATCGATACAAATTTGTGACCGATGAATCGGAACCATCAAAAATTGAACAAGGGTGGCTCGAAAGCTTGAGTACAGCAAGTAGCAATTTCAACATGCCACGTGTAAGCAGGTCTCGACGTGACAGCAGAGCTAAGAAAAGAAACAGAAGTAGTCAAAGGAAATCAAAGCGCAATCGCAGGCAGACAGGTAAATTAAAAACCCACTTTTTACCTTTAGCTAAAAAAGGGAATAGTTTGTAAACCTAAAAAAAAAATTAAAAACACTCTAACGAATGACTGCTGTTTAATAGTCAATTTTAGTGATACATTTTTTACGTATAAAACAGAATCCGTGCGAGAAAACATATGTACAGAGCCTCCTCTTATAGGACCATTAACTGCGACGTTTGTTGGAGCTGTCCCGGAACAACATGTAACGGATACAGGTAGTTAGTACACATCGAAGATTACCAACACCACCTATCGATACCTTGTTCCACAGCATTAGACGTTTCCTCCTAACCTATCTTACTGTTCTTTGCAGTTTATGTTGGACCCTGGACCAAGAGTTCGAAGAATGAATCACGTTACAACTTCAATAAGTTCCATCTGGTAGAAGATAACAGATCGATCGAAGTTACAACAAGTGGTTTGTACTTCATTTCTACGCAGGTACTGATAGAACCCGTAGAGTTCCTTAAGTTAACCTAAACCTAAGTAATCCCAGGTCTGTCTCGTAAACCCTAGTACTGCACCGTTGCAGATATTCTACTTCGGAGGACCTGTCCATTACTCCTACTGGATTTTACTTAGTTCAGAGGGTGCGTCCAGCACGCAGAAACTTACAAAATGTGCCACCGTCTCTGCTATTTCTGATACCGAGATTTCGTGCCATACCAGCATTACACTACCATTACGCAAAGGTGACCGACTGCACATACAGCAACAAGAGCGTGATAGGTAACGGTTCAATATTTTCTATTCTCGAGATTAGGTACATGTGTCATTGCAGGACTAATGATCGATTGATTACTTTATAGATTAATCAATTTAAGGGAGGGCTACAGTTACGTGCAGTTGGTCCTCTTATCCAAACAAGATGAACGACGACGAAAACGATGGTGATATTAACCAGACAAAAGAATGATTATCGTGATATTACCCACCCATACACCCCATAAAGTATGTTAACAACATACAGTGATACGTGTAGTGCCACTTAAAATTCAAACAGGACGTTTGAACCCTACATGTTACTTCTACTTTTTTTTTATATTTCTATTTATAGTCGAATAATGTTTTATACGAATGAGCAATACTTTTATCATAGTTACGTAATTACCAAAATTTGGATAAATTTTTACGGGCCGTCCAGTCCCTTAGGATAAGTATATCCAAAATTATTTTTGTTAGTGTTTTAAAGGCTGTCCAATGGTAACCTATACCACTACGGACATTTTCTAACGTTTCTCTCTATACCATTTCTATAAGTTAAGGACAAAATTGTTATCACGACCCACCATCGACAATTAAGACTTCTTCCCATCATTGTTACATCTCTAATTAAGTACCGTGTACAGCTTGTTATAAGTCAGCTAGTGATGTGCTCTAAAATGAATATTTCCAACGATTGTGGAAGTGTCAGGAACGCGGAAATTGTAACAATCTCGCATAAGAAGCGCCGCTCTACCATGTTACATCCTGTATCGAACATAAGAAATCTTTTTTTTATACGAATGAGAATATTCATTTTTCGAACAGTAGTCTCGATGCCCCATGAAAACAAAGGAAAGGAGGGATTTCCGGGGAAAGACGAACACTTAGGAGAGGTACCTCCCGGAATTCCGTGTTCCAGTCTCTCTTTATTTGAAGAAAAATCCGGGACAATTACAATGCGAAGGACGCAGGGTTTTTCGAGAAACCTGCACCTCTGGGTTGGACGCAATTGAAATGGCAATATCAACGCATCTACCTTCCTCGACCCAGAAGGGAAACCATCTCGGATCCTCGTTATGGAATAAGTCACCGAGCTAGCCGTTTACTTAATCCGGTGCAGCCAGTCATGTGGCCTGGGACGTTGCTCTTCCTCCGGTGAATCCAGTTCTCGAGTTATTCTCTCCCCTCAACCTACAGAGAAAACCACAATATGAGAACAGAGCGCCGAGGGGGCCGGCCGTTAATTGGAAATATATCCGTCTACTACATGGACCTACGCCAAATATAATCCGACTCGACCGCAACGTTATATAATAAACGTGAGCTATATATTCCAGAGTGCTACCGTGATTCATAAAAAGAGAAGGGAGAGAGTAAAAAAAAAAGAAAAAGAAACAATAGGAAAGGAGCGATCGCTCCAGTCCCATCCGTTCGTCGAGCGATTTGGGTCCTATCGCCTCTCTGTTACCACACATCGCGTCCATCGGATGGTGGGAATGATTAACACATCCTTATCCGTCCTACGTATTCCGTCCTAGCCGTCGATTAGACGATCGACGCTGCCCTTGCGACTGATCTTCGGTAATATCGTCTTATCGAGGCAGCGTACCGACCCTAGCCATAATTATCGTCTCAATAGCGAGATAATAGTGCATCGCTGCGGTGCTTCTTTGGCCTTAAGAAAAAATCCCTAAGTCGTTTTCTACGTCCCTCATCGAGCCAGTTCCTTTATTTATTTTTTTTTCTTTTCTTTTTTCTTCTTCTTCGAGTTAAGGTCCCTACAACGTGAATCCGGGAGTTCGTCATCGACTCTCCTCCCGTTCTCGTTTGTGCTCCTCCCTCTTTCTTAGGACATTACGTATGGCAAAAACTACGAGTTCGCCCAAGAGTGCAAAATGAGCTAAACGATAAGCCTCCTCTCCTTAGCTTAATACGGCGTGCTACCATATCTCTGTACAAAGAAAGAACGAATAGGTACTGATATGATTTTACTCACCTGAGTATATGGGCTGTGAGGTCTACTCGAACTTTCGACTTTACTGGCATTATGCGGTTTAAAATCGTTTAGCTTTAGTTTGTGCTTCTCGTTTCCATTGGGCTTGTTATATATGACTCGTAATTCGTACTCTCGATATATGATATGTATATTATATATACCACACGTATGACTTATTTCTCTTAACCGAGAATGTGAAAAGCTCTCTTCCATTGACGATTTATGCTTGACGTTAAGTTTTCCTCCACTCTTTAGTTTCCTTCACTCGGTCGACGAAACCGGAAGAAAAGTGTCCGTACATTGTCTAAATTGCTTTCCTCCCGATAAGGAAATTACGGGCTAATCAAACGTGACTTTTTACCGCCTCTACTTTCCCCTCTTCCGGCTTTGTCGCAAAGAGAAAATCGATCTATCTCGGGGCAATTTTTATGCACCGCCTATTGTTACCGCAAACAACGAGAACTTACGTTCGTGTACACACAGAGTTAAACTTATGGCGTGACATCAGATTTTTCATTACAGACAAATCTTAACATCTCTGTACACACTCATTGTCGTCACATCGAACAAACTAGGAATGAACTATGTCGTATACACGGCGTCTGGCTAATTAAAGAGTGATAAAATCTAGTTAAGATTATATTTAAATATTATGCATTGGACGGGGCCATAGAGATTACGATAGCGTATAAAGGATTCCTGCTTTCGATACTTTAGCCTGTATCGGGCATCTCCTCGTTGATAACGGAGCTCTAATGGGCTTTCTTTTGTTCTGTTCTCTCAATCCCTCTCTTTCCCTCTCTCTCTCTTTCTCTCACTCGCCTACGCCTGTGAAATAAACTTTGTTTTCGTGAAATCTCTCATAGACCACATCATGTTCTCCCGCAAGTCGTCCTCGACATTGCGTATAAATATATTAAATATAAATATATTAATATCAAAAAGATCTTAGTCATAAGCACTTCAATTATTAACGCTAGTGACGTACGGATTCGTTTTAGGCAACCGGGCTTGACAAATCGTGGGATATTTTACATCTCGCAGGATTTAATCGTACAGTACATGGTACTTACTTTTTAACCGGATGTGGCTAATGATCGGCCTCCATCCGGCAAATGTCAAAATACCATCGCAAATGCACGAAATACCCCCCGATTATCATCACCCGAGTTACCAAAAATGATCCCTTACATATAAATGAGGGGAAAAAAAAAATGGTACTTTACTTTGAACTGTCCAAAACTTGGAGCCCCCTTTAAAAAAAAAAAAAAAATAAAAATATGGACGGAGAACCTCTTCGCGTCGATTCATCGGGCTGACTGGAAAAGGCTCTCGCACCAGATGGGGGGGAAAGAAGGAAAAAAAATGAAAAAAAAAAGAAGAAAATCTTCACAGAGAGAGAACAAAAATGAGGAAATACGCACAGATAAGTTTTAGAGGTATTAAAGGTTTTGCATTACCTGCGGACCTGCTCGTGATAGCGATCGCACACTTATTTGCAAGCGAGTGGCACACCTACGTGCTCTCGTTGAGAGCAAGGATTGTTAAACAATAGTAGAGGTCTCTATTTGTGCTGCCCATTAGTTAATTTGGTTGCGCCGGTTTCCTAGGGCAGTTGCTGGTTAACACTCATTAATCGAGCCATTTCTCTTGCACAGAAGGTGAGGAGGTAATGAATGCAAAGGGTATCGCCACTGTGGATTGGTAGTGAATTAATTCTTTTATCATTGATATTATTACGTTGTTTTTCTTTTCCACACTTTTTTTTTTTTTTTCTTATCTCCAACGATTCGTTTCCATTTTCAAGGTTCCTTCTATTGCTTACAGTATTCGGTCAACGCTACTACTAGGAAAATGACATTATTATAGAATAGACATCGGATAATTAATAATTAATTATTATACGTTAATCGGAACGTCCGGCCGGTTTCTCTCCAGCCTTGTCCTCCCTCTCTCTCTTTCCTCCTTCCCTCACTATTTATCAATAATAATCAATAATCTGCCGTATTCGTAAATGTTCACACTACACCGAGACACGATATATATGTATATATATCGTATAATGTCACTCCCTTCTAAATCAAGACACGCAAGTTTCTGGCTAGATGAAAAACCACGCCTGCTCTCAACGTGAAACAGCTTTCCGCGTACTTTATCCCTTTTTGATTGTCTCCGTTTGGCGTATTAAGAAAATATCTCCCGCCCAAAGTAGAATGATAAGGAATCGCGTCGACCGGTTGTCTCTTTAAACTCGATTCGGATCGATTTCTATATCGTGTTTCGCGTTCTGCCTATCCACCCGAAATTCGATACTGCGAATATTAATAATGATTGCACCGTATGCATGGTCTCGTTAAGGCGAGATGATATAAAATTTATAAAAAGAATGAGATACGGGTTAAAACGAAAACCGAGGTTCCTCCAAGGATTCGAAGAAAGCTGGATCAACATTGGCGAGTGCTTTTCGTGATAAAAGAAGGGAAAAAAAAAGAAAAAAGAAACATGCGGAAATTCTGCTAATAGGGCCGTGGACTCGAAAAATCCGTTCGCGCAGCGGACGAGAAAAAAAGAAAATAATAAAGAGGGACGCGTTCCGAGCCTCTCATTAAACCGCGAATTGTCCTCGCCGTTTTTTATATATATATATATATTTTTTTTAGAACCCTTTATCTCGTAGTACAATAAATATACAATGCCGGGGTCTACTCGAAAAATGTCTCATGCTCGGTTCTCCGTGTTTCCCTCTTTCTCCCTAATTCTCCTCCTGATATCGAGATCCGAATCCGAGGCAAAACGTGACTGTACATCGAGACGAAACTCTTAACTCTATTGAGAGGGAAAAAAAGAAAAATAGAGAAAAACCCAGACGAAACAATTCTCGGTTCAACGAGAAACGTGTTAAATTACGGTGTTCGCGCGTGTAACCGACAGTCAAGTATAAAACGCTTTCGTCATATATTTTTTGTTTGTTTCCTTTATCTCGTGCACTTATCAGCTGCAAGTACAAGCCACACCGTCACGTCTTGTGCAGCTTTGCAAAAAGATTACCCCCGGGAACGTGCGACAAGAGTCGAGGTCGCGCGTGCTCTCCGTCTCGCTCTCTGGCTCTAACCACCTCGCCTCCTCATTTAAATCCTCGAAATTCTCGAATTCGAGGACACCTCCTCGACCGAGTCCATTACATGGTTAGTCGGACCTTAACGCCTACGTAAAACACGCTTGCGACCGATGGCTCGGCTCGCCCAGTTTTAATTACGTATAACTCCACTTTGTCGCTCGCTAGGAAGGTCTGCCATAATGCATCATGTTTTGCCTTTTGCAAATAGAGGAGTCTAGTTACTAGTAGGAATTAAATAGTCGACAATCTCAGTAAGATTTAATAGCGTCGTTGAGACTGGGCGTTTTGGTAACCAGCACTGCCACCTGCGAACAACCATAGCTCCTCCGTTCAATCATATTGCATATTGATTTCAATTAGTCTGTTTCTGACTATATAATTATATCCTAATCAGCGTTTACAGAAGTTGCCTTTCAAATTCTATATATATGTATATATATGTATATGTACAGCGATCTCGGTATTTCGGTAGGCCATTCAAGTGGAGTCACCCTGACATCGTATCGATAGATGTCCCTATAGTATGCTCTCCGCCTTTCCTAGCAAGTACTTTAGGTGCACTCGTTACAAGTACTCCCTATTAGCGGGACGTACGCACGAGTCTTTCGAAAACCGTTCACGGAATCGCACCGATACTTGATTTGCTTGGGACACAAAAAAAAAACTAGTAAAGATGCCTTGGCTCCCCGTAATTTCGTTTAAAACGTGGAATAAGTAAAGAGTGATCACGTAGAGGACTTCGAATAATTTCTACACCCTCCTTTTATCTTCGTGAGCCAATGTAAATAATATCGCTCCTAGTCCCCGATTCTTCGAAATTGTTAATACTGCCTTATCGGGAGCTAAAAACGTACGTGTCGAAGCATGCGTTAAAGCTGTTCGAGTTGAAATTTTTAAACGTGGTATTATTCACGCTGTATCCTCGCCGATTACTCGATCCTTTCACTCTATTGGTTCCGCCTAACCGATGACTACCAATTGAATGGTTCTAAGAGTACCCTCTTTGTATCGAAAGCCACGAAATGATTTTGATTTCAATTCTGATATTACCTCCTAACGTTATTTCCACCTCTTGTATATAAATGTCATGTTAAACGCTCGATAAAACACGGCCCTAAAATTGTATTTTGTACTGACCTAAAGGCGAATCAACGCGTGTCTCGTAAAGGATCTATCGACACGCGATTAACCCCTCTCGGGTGAAAAATTTGACGAGCAGTAGTTCGTTACTCCCTCGTTATGCGTAACGTACTTAGACAAAAGTCATCGCAATATCCCTGACGCTACTTCCTAAAAGCTAGTACGTCTTTCTGTTTTGCGGCTTGTACTTACCGTAATCCTGCTTCCCGTACACGCCGTCTTGTGACGCGTAGTCTGTAAAGCAGAATACAAATTTCAATAATCTGGAGCATAAAACCATTAGATAAAACAAAACAAAAGAAATCGTCTCTGTAGGAGTTGAAGAAAGAATACATCAAGATATGCGAAAGTGTCTGATTATTTCAATATATTTAAAGTGACTCACCTGCAGCAGGTGTCTTGCCATAACTGTAGGGATCTGCGGAGTTGTAGGAGCTAGTTGGAGCAGGAGGTGGTCCACCGTACCTGCTATCGGGTGCAGCCGGCGCCGTGTATCCCTGTATAACAAAAATCATGTCACGCTATTACATCTTACTCAGTTATCGATATACTGGGGAAAGGGTGGAAACTTACCGCAGCTTGGGTGTATTCGGAAGGTTGCTGATAGCTTTCATAGCCCTGATATGATTGAGAGTAGCCTTGTTGAGAGTAACCTCCGTAGCCACCAACCGATTGTTGCTGTTGTTGCTGCCCGCTGTACCCATTACCTGATCCGCCCCCATATCCGCTTTGACCACTTGAATAAATCAAATTTACGTTTATTTCAATATCAAAGCTTTATGTAAGCAATATGTTTAGTTACGTAAACTTCCAGATTCAGTTAGTGCCTGGCATAAAGAGATTAAAATTATTTGAGAGATACTTACGCCGAAGTTTGTGTTGAGTAACCATTAGCTGATTGTGACGGTGGCTGATCAAACCTGGGCCTTTTAGCCGGGCCACTGGATCCAGGTGGTCCACCTCCACGTTTTGTCGGTCCACCTCTTCCTCCTGAACTTCCACCTCGTCCACCACGGTCACCAAATCCTCCCCTTCCACCAGGTCCACCTCTGGGTGCTCCGCTACCTCTGCAAATTTGTTAAAGTATACATTATGATATTCCTGCTAAATCTCATTTTAGCAAACTTCACTAAATGTGAAATTAAAACAACTAACTCTTATAAAATCAATTTACCTTGGACCTCCTCGACCTCCACGATCCATACCACCACGACCTCTGAAGCCGCCACCAGACCCACCACGGCTGTCACCTCGCCCAAAGTCACCTCTACCTCTTCCACCCCGGAATCCACCAGCTCCTCTACCTCCTCCCCGTGGAGGTCCTCCCATTCCAGGTGGTAATGGTCCATTACCAGGCCCTCCTCCCATTCCAGATTCCGGTGGTCCTCTTAAAAATAAATTTTCATTATTTTCAACAAATAGGTGAACAAACGTTATATAACTTATTTTATTGGATTATAACTGGTCTTGAAGCATTAGTATAAAATAATAATATTTACCCAGGTGGGAAGTGTCCTCCTCTTCCTCCTCGGGGTGGACCACCTCTACCACGTATACCAGGTGGACCTCCTCGCATACCTCCTCCTGGACCACCACGTCCCCTCATCATACCTCCGCCTCTTGGAGGTCCACCCCTATTGAAACAAAAGATACTTTTACATATTGAAACATATTTTACTGGGTATTACGTTAAAACCCTTACTCATATAATCCTGTACTTTAAGCCCTTTTCCTGCAAATGCTTTATACATAAAACTGATAAAATAAACCACTCGTATATAACCTTAAATCTCAACTATTATTTACAACAACCATACATGTATAGCTGTAACTGTAATTGAATTATAACAAGACTTCTTACAACAACCAACATATATTAAGAACTGATTCCCCATAATCTTATAAATTTCAAAATTAAAGTTATTGATACATTAAATGAAAACAGTGAAAGTGTAAGTCAAGTTGATCGAATACTAGAAAAAGATCTTTCTTAAACGATTAATATAATTTATATGGACACATTAATTATTGTCTGTATACTTCGGAGCATTTACCTTCCTCTATCACCAAAGCCACCGCGTCCTCGCATTGGACCACCAGGGCCACCACGACCTCTGAAACTACCTCTACCACTTGGTGCGCCTTCCATTTTGATTCTGAAAGCACAAAACGCCTATAGAAATATCTAATTTTAAGACACTGGTCCGGGTCGATTAACTCCTAGACGCCATCGAGCTGTTGACTCCGCGCGGCGTAACAATCTTCAGATTTCCATAACTATGCTAAAACGCCATGAAACGATCGAAAGAAACTCGAGAGGTCTTACAAGCGCGGCTGTTTTATTGAATACTCACCAGTTTTCCTTAGATATTTAAATAAATAACAGGGCCGCTATAAGAACGACGCGCCGACAACAGACGAACCAACGAGGAAAATGGACGCCGCCTTCCGGAAGAAGGAACATCGACCATGTCGCATCCTTCCGACTACGCTAGTCGAGACATCGATCGATGCAGATCACGATGCAAGTCAAATGCAAGCTAGATGGCGACGTCATGACGTCATGACACCTGGAACTTCAAGATGGCGGCTGTCCTTGTCCAATCAGACCTCTCACCGGCGTTTCAAAAACTACGCCTTTAATTTGACTTTTCTTGCCAATTATTTCATTTTCGTAATTACACCTAACATTTCATAATTTCATATACCCTTACTTTTAAGAAAAAGTACGCGTGTCTCTAGGATTTTCAATTTCAAGTGAGTGCGATCCACTCGAGAAGAAACGTTCGAAAATCCATTAATGCGATTTTATTTTTGCATGCGGAATAAATTCAAGGATGTTCTTCTTATCACTATACTTGCTATTCTTTTAGTCCTCGGACGGGAAATCGTATACGATATCTAGGGTCATCGTTTCAAAAATTCGGATCCGATTCTCGAGTTGATACGATCAACTTCCATATGCGAATTGACAATTTCGTATACGACATTCAAATGTTAACTAATGACACGACTTGGCAAGAATGCGAAATTTTTTATGCGAAAAAAATCCGTATGAACTTGAGAATTGGAACCTTGTCCTTGACCAGCGACTCGATGTCTTCTTGTCGACCATGGAAATGTGACCGTAGTGTTTGTCTTGAGATCTCACTCGGTTAATGCCAGGTCACGTGACGCGTCGGAAAGGCTGCCGATTTGCAGAACGTTCGAATTTGAAAAGCAGCGTCCGTTGCTCACCTTCTTGTGCCCGTGTGTCACGTAAGACGAGTTACCCGTACGAGCGACACTTTTGAAGTCGAAAACGGTCGACAGAGTTAATGTTAACGCGGACACGAGAGGCTGATTTTACTGAGCGTGCCGCCAAAAGAATCGCATCAGAAAGCGCAATGTCGAAGGACGAAAAGGAGTCTATAATTCCGGATATCATATGCGACGTCAAGACTGGGACAAATTACCTTAAAGGTCGTTTTTTCGGAAAGGTGAGAATACTTTGATCCTCGCACTACCTGATAATCTTCGCGTCTCGATGTTTTCTCCCGATGCAAACATTCTGACTGGCCGAAAGAAGGATTAAAACGTGTCTATTACTTTGGCTCCAAAAAATTAAAACTCATTTTCGCGGGAGAGTATTTCGTTTAACCTTTAATTTTCTCTCCTTGAGAACGTGTTCCCTGTTTCAAGTAGTTTGTATACTGTTGGTACGGATGTTCTGTTGTGCTTTAGTGGAGCATAAAGAAAAGATACAAACTGTTATTTCTTTCATATTACCCTTTCTTATTATTTATTGTCTCGTGTCGATATACATCTCCAGCTCCATTTTCGATCAAACAAATGAAAACGATAATTTTTTAGGGTGGCTTTGCAAAATGTTACGAGATCAGAGATTCGGAGACGCACAGGATTTATGCCGGAAAAATTGTGCCAAAGTCATTAATGAACAAGAGCAATCAACGAGAAAAGATGACACAAGAAATTTCTATCCATCAAAGTCTAAGTCATAAACATGTGGTTGGTTTCTATGGATTTTTTGACGATCCACATAATATATACATTATTCTGGAACTCTGTCGTAAAAGGGTAGGTTTTATTTAAACAATTTCAGACCTTAACCAATATGAGCTATATACTTTAATTACTTTGATGAATTTTAGTCAATGATGGAATTACATAAGCGGAGAAAAGCCTTGACAGAATGTGAGACAAGATACTACATGAAACAAATCCTCGAAGGTGTGCATTATTTACATAAAAACAGAATCATTCATCGAGATTTAAAATTAGGAAATTTGTTCTTAAATGACGATCTTCAAGTCAAAATTGGTGATTTTGGTCTGGCAACAAAACTTGAACATGATGGTGAACGTAAAAAGTAAGAACATTTACATTATATATTATTTATCTACTTAAATTAATTTGAAACATGGCTTTAATGTTAAAAAATAAAGTGCAAAAACATTTTAAAACAACTTTTGTAATTTGTACAGAACATTATGTGGGACACCAAACTACATAGCACCTGAAATTTTGAATAAAGTTGGTCATTCTTATGAAGTCGATGTATGGAGCATTGGATGCGTCATGTACACTCTTTTGGTTGGCAAGCCACCATTTGAAACGTCAAGTTTAAGAGAAACATATGCTAGAATTAAGCAAGTTCAGTACAAAACACCGGCTACCCTAAGTAAAACAGCCATAACTATGATTTCGAGTACGTTGCAAGGAAATCCTGCAAAACGACCCAGTGTAGCCAGATTATTAAAAGATACTTTCTTCTTTTCTGGTAAGAATTGTAGTCTTTAATATTGTATCAGTTTTTAATCAACTATCGATAGCCTCATGAATATAAATGTTCAGGTTTCATGCCATCGTCACTGCCTTTGTCCTGCCTAACAATGGCGCCAAGATTGGATATGCTAGAAATGCACAATCAACGCAAGCCTTTATCTGAAATGAACTCTAATGTTAGCGGTGATGGAGAGTACATTTTCCGCGTGCCAAGCAGTCCTGCACCAAAATCAAAGCAGGTAGACAATGTAACGAATGTACAAAAGTTAAATCTGGACATTAAGAAAATGCTTCAGACATTGAAAGAACAACTGGCAGCTGTGCTAAAAACCAATCCTGCTCGAAAAACTGCATGTTCTACAGGTACAGAAGTTTTTCATCTTACTGTTTTTCGCCCATGTTATTTGGAAGGCCTATTTTCACTAATGGGAAACTTTCTTTGGTCCAGAACGTCCACGACCGTATCAGATTTTCCTCGAAATATCAGGCATGCACCTTCCTTATACCTCGTTCCTATTCCTATATGATTTAGCCCTAGGATGTATCAAGAATATTTAAAATAGAATCCACAAAGAACTTAATTTTTATTACAAAAATTCTGATTGATGAAATAATGATGGAATATTGTTCAACAGATGAGATGACTGATCCCGATGCCCAGCCTGTTATTTGGATTAGTAAGTGGGTCGACTACTCGGACAGGTATGGCTTTGGATATCAGCTTTCCGATGATGGAGTTGGTGTCATGTACAACGATGGTACCCGCCTCATTATGCTCCCGAATGACTACAATGTACATTACATCAATCGTGAAGGCGATGAATTATACTATACCATTGACAATTACCCTACCACTTTGGAGAAAAAGATGAGGCTCTTGAATTTCTTCCAAAGATACATGAATGAACATCTTATGAAAGCTGGAGGATCGGTAGCTGTCAAACAAAGTGATTCAATATCTAGGATACCTTACATGCATCAATGGTTCAGAACACAAACTGCAGTGGTCATGCATTTAACCAACGGATCCATACAGGTATGTTGAGATTGCTATTAATTAACTATTAACAATTAATTTTCCATAAACATCTCTGGTTAACACTGATAATTATTTTTTCAGATAAATTTCTTAGACCACTCAAAGATTATAATGTGTCCATTGATGGCTGCTGTTACCTACATAGATCAAGACAAAAATTTTAAAACATACAGATTCCAGACTATCAACCAGAATGGATGCAGTTACGGACTCGCTAAAAATTTGGCTTACGCTCATGAAAAACTTGGATTGATGCTGTCGCATCCTCAGTCTTAATAGTTTTACAACGTAATTGTTATTTTTGTCTTGACACGGGTAAAGCATCGACATAGCAAATTTTATTTGCTCGAAACTGCCAAGAAAACATGTCGAGTGAGTCCATATGTATGTCAGTAAGTTTGAACTTTCTTTTTTTGATAGGCCTATAAAACTTTTCTAGATTTTTTTTTTACGTACACGAGGACAGAACATAAGCAAGGAAGAAGTACAGATAACATTCGATAGGTCTTAGTATATTCATTTTGAAGACGTGAAATATCTTTTTTATATTTCTTTTGATACTCTAGATTTTAGTGTATGCAATTCGATTATATATGTACTTTTTTTTTATCATGAGCTGAAACTGCTCTAGTTTTATACGTGTCACGAAGATTTAATTTCTGGTTGAAAGGCAGGTGGGTGGTATGGACAATTGACCTGCACTATTATAAAGAAATTTAGCCGAACATAACGATAGTTCCAAATTCGGCAGAGTGCAATGTGATGTTTCAATCGATACAGCTTCTTTAATCTTAAGGTTCTAGTATAACTAGGCCACCAAATGGAACTAGTACTTATAACGTGAGCTGACAGTGCCTTACTTTGAATTGTTTGTGCGTATATAAGAAACTGCCGATCACAAGCACAATTATTCAAGGAACAAATTGTTGCAGATACCTCTCCATTGCCTCGCAGTAGGGTTCGACTTGCATTGTCGTTTATAAGTCGTTATATCCGTCGTGTCCGTTAATGAAGTAAAGGAACCGGTTAATCTTGACTTTACTTAGACAACTATAGAAAGTCTTTCGATGATCTTTTAAAATATTGACCATAATGTGCTTGTCTAGATATAACATCGGTAATACCAGACTGCCGAAATAATCTTTCAGAAAAGCCAGACGTAAAACATCTCATTAATAATCGTTTCCGAAGTATCATACTGTTTAAGTTAGTCTTAAGGCTAAGCTTTGAATGAATTAAATTTAAAACTGTATATATTATCATAGGAATTTTACAGAACTGTGTATAATAATTGTTAGTCTCTAGAAGAGAGAACTGGCGAATACTGCATTACTTAGGCACTTAATGTTGTATCCTCTTAATTTCGTGTAGACCATTCGTAACGTACTATGATGAGCTCGAAGCGAAGAGAATAATAATGAAATTGCCCGTGTATGTAGACATTGTCAATTAGTGGTTGCGCCAACTAAAGTCCATCAGAGGCACTTTGTATCTTGTTCGAAGTATTAAGAGGGAATCGTACATCATTTTCTCTGTGTGCATTTTCACACCTATGAGAGTTGCAAACGGGGAGACTTTGCACCCAAAAATATTTGTACAGGATGTACTATGAATAACGAATAGGTGAAATCACAGCCTTCCGAAAATATAACTTCCCATGCGGAGCCAGAGTTTTTAATTATTTGTTAGCAAATATATAAATAATGAGTACGAATCCGTACTGGCCATGGACATAAGAATATATGGACGGAGCCCACAGTCCCATCTTGGACCAGGGGGCAAACCTGGGCGTAGGAAAGGGAAGACCTATCGTTAGCAAGTTTTTCAAGCTCCTGATTGATAGGTCACCTGCTTCATATTTCCTGTTTACTCTGATTTATTTTTTTTTGCCACTCTTGTACGTAAAACATCATTTTCAACCTTTATGCTAAAAATGGCATATTGTACATCATTCACTGTTTACTTGTTCAAAGCCAGCACCGTTCTTTACTCGCTGCTTTTAAAATAACAATTAATCATCCAATCAGCAGCCAATCGTCCAGCCAGCAGACAAAACAGCCAATCAGAAAGCTAAGACTATGGACAGCACTACGCTACCTTACCATTGTTCCTACGTAAGTACGTTAGCCGCCCGGACCAACCACCAGGGGCAGCACAAGACACGATCGCGCAACCCTGCCCATGAGCAATCTTCCAACTCATCTCTGTTATCAGAGAGAATAGAAACGAGTGCCGCAAGCGCCATCTTGGCGGCCGTGACCGATCGCCTTCGGCCGTTGAGGGTTGTTGTCGGTCGTCTAAGGGTCCGTCGAGTGCAAGGTCTATGATCGTTCGAGGTCTTATGGCCTGTACCGCCCGTCTTTTCGTATTTCGGTGAATTTCCCAAGGTTTTTCAGGTTCTTCCTTCCGATAGGGAGCTAGGAGAAGGCAAGAGTCACAGTGGACGCTGGAGGACGCGGCATGGGGGACGCAGCGATGAGCGTCGCAGCGTCCGGCGCCGGTCAACGCGTCGTCAAAGAGGGCTGGCTACAAAAACGCGGTACTACCAAAATCTAACCAATTTTCAATGTCTACGTCGTCACGGTGCCAAATTGCAACCTGGAAACCTTATTGACTCTTGTTTTTCTCCCTTTGCTTTGGTACACCATAAGGTGGTCTCTGTAATTGGCGTCGAGCGGCACGTAAACACAGTGCTCCAAGAAGGTCCCCAGTGCGTCATTTAGAATTTCTCGAAATGAATTTGAGGGAAAGCTTCATGGTGGCACAAACTTATTGAATTATGTACACAGTTTCTGTAAAATTATCGGAAACTGCTGTAGAGCAATAATTTAGCGATTCCCTCGGCTCTGAGTTGCTGTTATTTTGTACCGTAATTTAGTTTTGCATCAAGATTGATAGTTAAACGTACAAGGGGGCATATGAGTTTTTTTGTAAATTTAACGATACTCGAAACAACGTCTGGAATTTTCTGCCCTTGGGAGGATTAATGTTAAAGTACGTCGTACTTAGAGAATTGCAAGTATAATAATTAAGTGATCTAGGAATAGGCTTTCTCTGCTGTAAATTCTTTTATTATTAATATAAGTAAACATTACGAATGTTTCTGTGTATGAATTTGACATTTTTGTATAAAAAGTGACCAATTTTGCATAAATTATATGAGCAGTTTGAAGTTTATTCCAATTTTTTTTTTGTGAGGTTCAATAATGTTATACAGTATGCCTGATCATAAAATGGATAAAGAAAGGCCTGTAGAAGTATTAGGTCAAGGAATAAGATTCGGCTGTTTTAATTACGTTACGTTATGTTATGTTACATTAAAAACGACGAGAACTTATTCCATAACCTAATACACTTTATGTATTTCTGTAGTGCATTCGTTTCGAGTACATTTCAAAAATCTGTAATCAAGATATTACTTTTATACCATTGGAGGGATAAGTTCCTTTTTTTTTCCAGTAGAAACTATAATAGAAACATTTGCAGGGGAGCATATAAAGAATTGGAGATCTCGATACTTCGTATTGAGAGACGATGGCACACTGGTAGGATTCAAGGCGAAACCGGATCAACAAATGGCAGCTGCGGCCCAACCACTGAATAATTTCACAGTTCGAGGCTGTCAGATTATGTCGATTGATCGACCAAAGCCTTACACATTCGTAATAAGGGGTTTACAATGGACCAATGTTATTGAAAGGACGTTTCATGTTGAAACGGAGCAAGAAAGAGAAGATTGGGTAGCAGCTATTAGGTATGTTGTCAAAAACGCTTACCGATAAGGATTATTGTAATTAATAACACATTTATTGACAAAGGTTTACTATTATTTACTAAGAAGTATTTTCTATCAGGTATGTGGCGGATCGGTTGGCTAGCGAGGAGCAGCAGCAGCAACAACAACCCCAGTTCCAGAGATCTTCATCGACGGAAGACGTCGACATGGAATCTACAGGAGGTGGTCGATCAGATTCTTGCAGTTCCTTAAGTATTGTATCTTTAGAAGTCGACGGAGGCAGTATCGATGAATTGTCTGCAAAATTCAGTGTACAAGGAACTTCGAGCAGTAAGAGCTCCGGAAAGAAGAAAGTTGTAAGTTAACCAATGTCAGTTACGTTTGTTTATTATTTATCGTCATCATATGTATATATTTTTTTTATACAGACCCTCGAGAACTTCGAATTCCTCAAGGTCCTTGGCAAGGGCACGTTTGGTAAAGTCATCCTTTGTAGAGAGAAAGCAACGGGTCACCTCTATGCCATTAAAATCCTGCGAAAGGAAGTAATCATTCGAAAAGACGAAGTTGCGCATACACTCACAGAGAACAGAGTCCTGAGAACGACGAACCATCCCTTCTTAATAGTACGTTACAATCGTTTATATCTACTGAATTTCATTGATTACCTACATAACCTCACGACCTAAAAGTATACAAATTTTCAATTCCAAAAACTGTTTGATATTTAATATTGTACGAACATCATTCTGTTTCAGTCGTTGAAGTACAGTTTCCAAACAGCGGACAGATTGTGCTTTGTGATGGAGTACGTAAACGGCGGAGAACTGTTCTTCCACCTAAGCCGATCCAGGGTTTTCGGCGAGGATCGTACGCGTTTCTATGGAGCAGAGATAATCTCGGCTCTAGGTTACTTGCACTCTCAGGGCATAATTTACCGCGATCTCAAACTCGAGAATCTTCTCCTGGACAAGGACGGTCACATAAAGATTGCTGACTTCGGTCTATGCAAAGAGGACATTACCTATGGTAAGTTAAAACAGTGGTATCCTGTGAATCGGACAAAATCGAACAATGATTGACCGTCTCACGTTTCGTTAATTAGGAAGGACGACGAAGACATTTTGCGGCACTCCAGAGTACTTGGCTCCGGAGGTCCTCGAGGACAACGATTACGGGAGAGCCGTCGACTGGTGGGGAGTCGGCGTAGTGATGTATGAAATGATGTGCGGTCGGCTTCCTTTCTACAACAGGGACCACGAGAAGCTGTTCACCCTTATTCTCCTGGAGGAGGTTAAATTCCCCCGGACGATCAGCAATGAGGCGAAGGATATGCTTGGCGGTGAGAAATAAAAATCTACCTTGGAAAAGTTTCTAGAATATTACAAGAGCTTATTGATTTTCAAGATCCTTAAATAGTAACTTCGTGTCTAACTCCAGACCTAACGGAGATTGAATTAATCCCGAAATTATACGTTCAACAGACATGGAACATGTACTCCTCCTGAAGAAACATCCAAACCCAAGAATCCACATTCATGGCATTCATAGTTTGCCCCTCCTAACTCTAACATGTAATTTTAGGTCTGCTGATAAAGGATCCTAGCAGGAGATTGGGCGGCGGTCCCAACGACGCGAAAGACATCATGAACCACGCGTTCTTCTCGCTGATCGACTGGTCGGACCTCGTTCAGAAGAAGATCCCACCACCCTTCAAGCCCCAAGTCACGTCCGAGACGGACACGCGCTACTTCGACAGCGAGTTTACCGGCGAGAGCGTAGAATTGACCCCCCCGGATCAAGGCTGCCCTGGCAGCGGCGGCGGCCTCAACTCTATAGCCGAAGAGCAGGAGCACTTCCAGCAGTTCTCCTATCAGGAGAGCCTCTCCGCGGCGACATCTTCCATCGTATCGATCAACCACTGACACGACATGCGCTGGAAGGCGCGAAGCCACGTCTGGGTTTGTCCGGCGCTCCAGCGGCCATCGCGTCCTCAGGGGATGATCCCGATTGCGACGAAGCCTCTCGTCTACACACCATCATACCCTCGGCCTTGAAACGCATCCCCAATGGCTAGCCGCCGCGTCTTGACTCGACCTTGGCTCAGGGGATCCGCGCAAATTTCTGCAAACCAAGTAGAGGCTCTAGGGAACGCTACAAGAGGCGCCGAGGTAGAGATCGTCGAGAAAACAAAATGGTACCGGGTCGACTGGCCCCGGGATCCCCGGCCTGCGTTGCCTCTCGATCTTCGGAAGGTTCAAAATAAGGTTTAATACTTAACACGGACGGGGAGAGGGGATCGAGGGATCTGTCGAGCTTGAAAACCGAATCCACGCGACAGGCAGGGCAGTCGTTTAAAGTAGAGACGTCGTTAAATCCGAAACCCGCCGCAGACGGCGTTGTAGGGGGCTCAACAAGGCTGGCTGGTCCCGGGGTTTCTGCATATCCTTGCTAGTCCCTTTTGGCATTGAGGAACTCTCTCGCGATTACGGAGCAGGTTGAGGGACCGGCCAAATTTGTAAGCTCCTTGGTTCGACAACCAGGAGACGCTATTAATTCTAGAAACCGCCACGAGGGCCACCGTTGTAGCGCTCGATCGCCAAGACCATTGTATATAACAAGCGCTGAAGGGGAAAGTCCCCCGTCCGAAATGGCCCACGTCAGAACTTAGAAAACGGCAGCAAACATGGCGCCCACGCGTAGCATCGCCTCGCTCTGATTGGTCGACGTTGTTTTACGCTGATGACGAAACGATCACGTGATTACTGAGTGTTGGAGGGGAGAACCTCACGATCTGAAACTTTCTTGAGTTCTAAGTGACTACGTTTGCTCCACAATACTCAAAATCCGGGATTCATCGAGTCCAAACCAAGTAAATCCGAATTTAAGTGTCGATCGAATCTGCATAATTATGAATGCGATGAAACGTGCGATTTACTGGATTCGGATCTGATAAATCTAAATTTAAGTGTCGAACAAGATATTCAGGATCGAATCTTTGTAATTTTTAATGCGATGGAGACATGCGATTTACTGGATTCGGAACTGATTAATCCCGGATTAAGAAGTACGATGGAGACGTAGTACGATGGAGAGAGCTTCGTGTTCTCTTCTCAATTATCGACGTAATCGATAATCATGGCTTCGTCTACCCGAGCGGAACTGTAAAAGGGTTTGTCGAAGCGGCGTTTGCAGCGTTCGTTGAAGCGCGATGGTTGATCCATCTACGTAGCAGTCTTCCTTCCTAGCGTAACATATAACCGTGAAAGCGTCGACCATGATCGAGTTTTGGGTTCCGCGGATTATATGGCCCTTTCCTATTTCCGCGAGGGTAGATTAGGCTCTTCCGGCGATTATTCGGGAAGCGCAGAATAGCAGCTGATTGAAAGCGAGACACGTGGCCAATTAGGGTCGAAATGTCATTTTGACCGTCGGGGCTTAATTGGCGAATCGAACGTCCTTGGCCTGTGTTAACGATCGACATAGGAGATGTCGTTCGTGATTCAATTATTGTATAAAAAGGAGAGAAGGGAGGATGATAGAAGCGAGGTAATGGAAAGTTAACTTACAGAGGGAGAGGGAGAGGACGCCTTTTTCAATAGTATTGGATCAACTTTTAACGATGTTTAATATTGTAACTAAATTGATCACCGATTGCCTCGTGACGACGCGCGAGGCTCGGAAATATTGGGCAACTAGTGGAAAAAGAGAAAACCCTTCCGCTCTTACGTCATGTCACGTCGGAACGAATAATTGATTGAGTATGAGAGGTGAATGACAAGAACATTATACGGATAAGAAATTATACATATTATTATATAATTATTCTACGCTATAATTATATATATTATATATATACATATATTTATATTTTAACAATTAAACAATTATATGGTACTCATTGTGTCATTAGTGGCCCATGTGCAGCACCTGGGGAGAATGTTTCATCTTCTGTGAGAACGGTTCTACTGGATATGTAATTGAATTTCCTACTTGTGTGCGTTTCGTTATAGTAAGTTTGTGACGTATTCTGGGAAAGGCTTATCCTTCACGAGCCATAGACTGTCCAGCACTGCACCTTTTTTGTCGTCAGATACCTAGTGGTTATTTTGGTAGATTATAGAAAGAAGAATTAGTTTTATTCCTTATTGTTTAATTGGTCCAAAGAGTATAGATAGTATGAGCTTCGAACCTGTTCGATGTACAAATGAGTCTTATTGTATGCTTTCATTCTGGTGTATCCATAATCTGAGCTTCGGAATGCAGACCATGAGGGTCTGTGTGGCACGAACTTTTCTCTTCCTTCTTTACAGCCAGCGGATCCAGTAACTATATGGACCGGAGCTCTGTAGTTTTTGTAGGGTTCTTCGTAGCTGCCATTGTAGACCTATATGGGAATGAATTGAACTAGTAATTAGTTTTTCACTGGAGTTAATTAATATTTTACCAAACATTTAATCTATATTTTGTGCACAATTCAGCAGCATCACCTGGAAATTGTACATGGGGAACATTCGCTCGTAGCTGTGCTCGTGGGCCCATAATTCCAGGTCAACCTTATGCTTGAAGAAGAGATCCTCGAGACCAAACCAATTCATAAATGGCAATCCGATTCTTACTAAGGTCTGGTGATTTGTGCAGTCATCACTGTTTGCATTGCTGCAGTACATTGGTCGATGGCCAAATGTCACTATCCAAGGTCTTTGAGCTCTGCAAAGTGTATTGAACTCTGATTGAATATCGCTTATAATAAGTCTGGCTTAATCTTAATGGCATTCTGTAATACATTTTGAAAGTACATACCTAACTTCTGGCCTGTTGGCCTCGGTTAAATCCTTATCGAGCCATTCATATTGCTTCACTAATTGCTTGAGACCATAGTTCAGGAAATAGTAGGCTTCCGTCTCGATGGCCACAAAGTGCACTGGGCCCACGTTAAAGCTGTACCAAAGGCCTTCGCTGTCTCCAGGCATTGTGAAACGAGCTCTGTTTCAACAATATTTTTTTAATACTGAAGTAAATAGACACTTTGAATCATTCAAGCCTCGTACCTGTAGTTACTAAAATTGTATCGCTCCTCGTGATTCCCAGGTACTGTCATATAAGGCAAATATGCAGCAACACTTTCGATCTGACGCATGAATTCATCCCCAATACGAGCATTGTTGGTGTCCATGTCATAGGCAAAATCCCCAACATGAATCGCAGCATCATACATTCCTCGCTGTGTCTCCTCCTGGAGACGCGTCAAACTCTGGGCATTTTCATTTCCCATATCACCAAACATGACAAAATTAGGTGACCAAGCTGCCGAGTCTTCAGGTACAGTTGTCACGTAAAACACGTTAGACCACCCATATTTACTCCCACAGTGGTACACTGGTTTGGACGAAAATTTATTTAAATTTCAATTGACTTAGACTGAATAATCTTCATTGAAATAAAACTTGTGTTTACCATATTTACTAGAAGGAGATAAGTTCTTTAGCCACACCCGATGTATGTATTGTTTATGCTTTTTTTTACCACCATCAACAAAGAGGGTGGAATTTCCTTTGGCAGTGAGAACAAATCCACCAATTCCATATTCAACTATCGATTCCTCTGTATCATTCATTGTCGTCCATGTCACCACAATGTCATGTACATTATCTAAAAATTTGTGAATGATACTGTGATTTATTTTTCTAAGCTATTATTAACTTTTTAAATAAGTTACCTCCGTAGGAAAGATGAACAGCCTCTGGTTGGTACTTCACCATTGCCCAGCAGGACCCGACAAGTCCGATAATTATTAAATAGCAAAGAATCATGGTCACTGGAATTCAAACGAATTATTAAAGTTTATACATTAATATGCACGAAATTATTTTATAGAAAACTATGACATTAGAAACGTGGACTGCACCTATCACTGAACCGTATTATGAGCTTTGCTAAAATGACACAAGTGAATCTCTCCGTTATTTGACGCATATCAGTAGGAACCCCGTAATGCGGGTGTAGTGTTATCACAAATGATATGTATTTGTGATTAGACAGACAGAAGATATGAAAGAATGACAGCCGATGAAAGGGAACGGTAATAAACATTAAAGTACCGAATATATAAACAAAAGAAATATACTGACCCTAGACAATAGGTTCAATTTGTCATACAAAATCAATTCCTTCGAGCGAAATCTACATTGACACAATGTATCCAATATCAAAGTCCAATTACGGTCGGACAACATTAAGAGACATTGATGGACAATGCTTTTCTTTGTTCTCCGTTATGCTCCACTGACTCCGTCATTCCTGCATTTATCGTTCGCATTTTTCCAATCGCCCGATTACATAGCAACTGATAGCAACTGATAGCAACCAATAGCAACTGTCATTAGCATTAATAAATCGTACACGAGTTTCTACCGTATATTTAATCCGAATTTTCGTAAATATGTTTACATCTGGGCGCCACCATCTTTCATGTTCATAAACAGGATAATTCGAAAGATAATGTCAGAGACAGAGATGAGTTGGTAGATTGCTCAGAGGCAGGGTCGCGCTATCGAGTCCTGTGCTGCCCCCTGGTAGTCGGTGCGGGCAGCTAACATACTTGCCGCCTGTTACCCCTCACTGGCGGCGAAAATGGGCCCTAGATTAATTTTAGAAAATTGGTGACGTGCCGTGGCGTTATAATTTGAATTACCAGGAAATGTTTTATTGCATCTGGCTTTTATTTAAAACGCATGCAATATGAAATAATTAGAAAGGGATTTTTGTATTATTTAAATCAATGGTACAAAATAATTTTCCCAGCTGCAGTTGATTATAGTAGATTAATACTGGCTAAATAGAATGGGAAAATGCAGTTTTTAGGAATCCTTAATGTTACGGTACAAATTTAGATTTCTTTAAAAATTATGAAATTCTTTAATTGTAATAAAAAAGGGTTTGGTTATAATGTTATTAAATCGGACTTACTACCAAAATTATAGATTACCTTTACCTTAGACGACATACTTTTTACAAAGAACGAAAATTTCGAAGTTCAAGATAATGTTAAAGTTGAGCTGATTAGTAATTGCGATAGGCATATTCGTAAGCTATCCTAACCAAAAACTGAAAATTACTCGATGCAGTTAATGCTCCTAATTCTGGCTCCGTCAAGATGAGGTTCAATGGTGGCAGAAACTCCTCAACTTTTCCACCTAGAGTAAAGAAAAATAATTGAGAATTTTTAAAAATTGGAACACAATATTTAATGCGATTACTTATGTTAAAATAGTTCCGAAAACTATAAAGCTCACCCATAAAGTGTGAGAGATCAATTAACTTGAAGAAAAGAGTATTTTGAACTTGTTGTTCAGGATTTTTGTCCACGACGTCCCATCGGTCACGTTTGGCCACTCGTGCCCAAATTCTTAACCTTAAGGAAGACCTTTCTTCTTCATCAACATAGTCAAGAAGATCTAAAGCTTTCTTGAAATCGTGTTCCGTAGCAATTTCATTTTCTTCGCAGGTGTAGAGCTGTTAAAAAATTCAAACATTAGAAGCAATACATTTAATGAAAAACTAAGAAAGCATACGTCAAATAGTTACCGTAATTAATTCTGTAGGAGTCAAAACTCTCAGCTTCTCAAGATCGTAACCATATGTAGCAAGTACTTGAGTGGGTAAGTCTTCTTGATGACTAATTAGTGCTAGTTCATTATTTAATGTTTTAATACACTCGACAGCCTCATCTTCCTCTGCTTCGATTGCAGCCAGGAGAGACCATTTAGCTAGGGACAACATCGTCTGCAAAGTGAATTATATCCAATGTATGAATACAATAACGCACAAAATATACAGTCTTTTGCTCATTACAAGAGATTGAAATTTTCACTTTAATGGAGTACAATGCTCACTTTTTTCCTCATAACTAATTCACTTTCTTGGACAGCTAAGGAATGGAGAGTATTGGATGCCAGACGTAATTCTCCATTAAACACAGCAGGAATCCAAGATAATTCGGGGTGTTCTAAAAGTTTTTCACTGAGTTCTACTGCCCCACCTCGACAACATTTATCAACTAACTGACCCTGTCGTCCATCTTTTACATACCTATTAAGCATAGAATTTAAATAGAAATTTATTATCAACAAAAAAAGAGTGGAGCAAGAAGCATATTGAATGCATACCACGAAAAATAGAATGATGCAAAATCTTGAGCTGCAAATCTTTCGATATAACCATCGAGTCGATTGCTGTTATTAGTCAATTCACATATTTGCACCAGTGTTGCAAAATCGCAGTACTTCTCTGCAAGCATAGCAGCATTCTCGTACTGCTCCTCTTTCACTATGAAAGGTCGTTTTACAAAGTTAACACCATTGGCAGAAATTTAAAAAAACTTGATGTATTATTTCTATTATTTTCATGCTTTATCAACAATATGCAATTAATAAACTTACAGAGTGGCTGAATGAGGTTTGTCCGTTCATTCTCATACTGCTTCATAAGAATCTCAAACTTCTCAGTACCACGAATGCTCTCCAAATGACATTTTCTACCATCCAATATAAGGTCTATGAGACTGACTAATTGTTCGTACAAGTCATTACGTAGCATCAAATCACTAGTTCCATTTATGCCATGTTTCAGGGTCAGTGTTTGCTGAAATAATGTTTTAGATAATAAATACAGTCCACAAAATGTAGTAGATGTAATACAATTGATCAGTTTCTTACCATTGTATGTAAACTTTGTCGCAGACCATTCTTGCCACTTGCAGCGGTCCATGGAAGGTATTCAGCTAAGCAGTTAGAACATCTTGTCGGAACAAAGCGTACAGCATTATACTGTCGATACTTAACAACTTCGTGTAAAATGCCCTTAGAAATAAAACCTTGAATTCACTTAAACTCGAACTAGCTTTAAAGATTGTTTAAATATTTTTTTTTAAGGTTAATTTGCTTACCAATAGGATAGAATTCACTTGTAGTATGTATTGCGCCACTTGATGCATCGGTCTTTCTGACTGAGCTATTTCACACGCGTTATTTACAAGTGTAGACATGAAAAGATGAACTTTGCTTACTTCTCGATAAAATATATCACGTGCAGTTAGCTCTTCTGAAACGGTTGAATCTGGAGTTATAGTCTTTTCAATTAGGGTGTCTATGATTTCTGCATATCTGGGAAATATTTAATGAATATTTGTACATTTATTATTAAAATCCAAAGAGTTAAATAGAAATTGTAGAAAACTTACCTGTTTTGGAGACTGTAAATGGCAAGAGCAGCAACAATTTTCTCTGCACATTCTTCAAGAACATGAGGCGTTGACATAATAATACCTCTGTATGAAACAGCACAAAGCTAAGAAATATAATAAAAATTATTATAGAAATATGCTAGTCACAATACTATATGATATTTTAAAGACTCTGTATGTGTAAATAGTAAACAATATACAAATGATGTACTAACTCTGGACCATAAGCTATATTCCTTCAAAAAGGACACAAAAAGGTCTAAAGCTTTTTGCTTGCCATCTAGCTGATGAGGAATTTGTACGGATGCAACAGCAGTCAATGTTACAGCTGCAAGGAAAGCAGTTCAGATTAAACTCTGTTCATTTTAATTAATTTCAAAACGAAGTAATTTAATTAAATCTCTTTGAATCTTACATAGGTCTTTTTGATTAGCCCAACGAGGATCATTTGCAGGATAGTCATCAATCAAATCTTTAACCACCTTCAATACAAGAGTGTCCAGTGTTGCATCAATATCCATTACCGGTTCTTCTTGTACAGGAAACAGTTCAGAAAGTATCTCTTCGCATTGTGCCTATTAATAATACCAACACATATATATTTTCAATCTTTCTCGGGAAAAAGATATCTAAAAAAAATTGTAGTCTTGTACCTTATTTTGTCGCAGACTAAGAAGAAAGGCGGCACGTAATTGTGCAAGAGTATCAGAACTGTAATACATATTTTTTAAATCATCATTACTAATAACAGTGAAGAAGTTCTCAAGTGCAAAGGTTGAAGTGTTGTTTGCACATTCTACACTAGCATTGACGTCGGAGTAACTCCTGTGAAAAACAAAAAAAGAAATCGAAATAAATTTTTGGATACAGTGTACTAGGTCAGTTTATAATTAATACTCACGCGTTTAATTCTTGAATAGAAAAGTCCGTAGGTATAACAGTAACAAGACCGAGATTTCTAGTAAAAAGAACTGGCGTGCCAGAACACATTGCTCCTCCAACAATAGCATCTTCCCCGCCTTTCATCAAGTCTATTTTGTCTTGTTCATGCTCTGAGACCACTACAGTATAATAAATATTATGTGCATGTAAATGTAAAAGTGTAAAATATTGATTATACGCAACTTACTGTTAACAACTAATACCGAGTGCTGATTATAGATAATTGCTTCCCATCCTGAGAGTATGAAACGGTAAGACAATATCATCGACTCTGTATCTTCATGATACATGAATGGTCCAATTTTGACTGGGATGAACCACCGAAATGCATTTTTTACATTTGTTCCAGATAGTGGAAAGAGACCTGAATGAAGACAGTTAAAGCGATGATTGGTAAAGGAATAGATTAGCAAAAAACAAGTACATATTTTTATCAGCATGAAATTTTTGAAATTACCAATTGCAAAATGAATCTGAGGAGAAATATCCGTGGAATGTGCAGCCATTAATATTACTATACTGTCTTCACAAGGTTGCATATCAATTAGCCAAGTATTCATATTTATTGGATTACATGCACTCAGTTCCTAAAAAGGATTCATTGTTATCCTTATCATTGTCACTGTTCCGTTGCCTTCAAATGTTAATGAAAACATACCCAAAATCTTCTTTGAAAAGCTTGAGAAATTACATGGCCGATATCTTCATCAAATTCCATTCTTTCCTGTTCATCATGAGTGAATGACCAGTACTGCAAAATTGAACCAGCTAGTATAAGAACTCTTGAACCCCTTTCACCTATACTGGTACATGTAACTTTGACCAATTTCTGCAAATAAAAAGTACTACAATCAGTATTAGATTTATGAAAAAATAATCAACAAGGCTAAACAATCACATACAGTTTCTGCCACTGGTGATTGCGGAATTGCTCCAAATATAAGAGAAGACATTCTGCGGCCAATGCCACCTAACCATCCTTGGCTCGTTCGAAGAACTCTGCAACAAATTGTATTTCGTCCTCCTGATACCTGAGGCTGTAAAAGTACTACAGTACAGGTAGTTGTGGCAAAAACGCAGCCATGACCAGGAATATATGTAAGGCAGTCAACTTCTTGTCCTGCAAGCTCGGCATTGGTCTCTACAGATGTGCCTTCATGGGCGACACTTGACCAATATCGAACCGTACCTTCGGGTGATACTGCCATACAGCTAGGGACCTATAAACAAAGGGGAACATAAGATTTAGATTATATATAAAGTCAGTATTAAACATTTAAATAATTCGAACAGAAAAACCAATAGAGGACGTATTGTAAACATATTTCCGATACCTGATGGCCAGGCTGCACCCAAACTGCAACACATTCCGCTTTATGAGCAAGATCACTTTGTGGCAGACGTAATTCTCTGCACTGACTTTTAAACATGCGTCTTTGCTTTGGATCGTGAACTGTCGTTTTGCATTGCCACACAAGCAATCTGCGGTTAGATACGAGCCAAGCCCATCCATCGTTTGATACGTTTACACTAACTGCTGTGTTACGATCTATGAACGTTAATGCTTCCGTCACAAGAACAGGTAACGACGAACCAAAACTCTCAACAACATGATTCGCCGTTCGGCAAATTACTTGCACCGACTGATTGGATCTTCCAGAAACACTTAAAGAACTACAAATAACAAAGAACACTATGACATTAGCTTCCTAACCCCTAATAAAAAAAATACCGGTAATTTAAAAAAGCTTAAAAAATAAATATCGCTTTTTAAAAAACAAAAGCACTGAATATTCTAAACTTTAATGCAACACTTTCTTTCTTAATTTACTTAAAATAATATGAATTGAAGGGAACAAAAACTGAAATTATATACTAACGACGTGCTTCTTTTAAGAGGCTGCACCACTGATACTCGCTTTCTTGGGGAGGTTAATGTTTTTCCGAAGGAACTGCCAATGCTAGATCGATCCATTTTGCTTCTTCTTTATACAGAATTAATCTCTTTAATAAATTATTGAGTAACAAATTACAAATTTAAGGAGCCTCTGATACCATAGAATTCAAACGTCTCCATAGATTCCTAGAAATCACTAGACATTTATAGACATTTAATGCTTTTTAATTAGTACGCTATCCAACGGATGGCGGCGCTGTACACGTTTAGCGACGTCGATTATTTAGACCCAGAGCTCTGGTAATACCAGAGAGAAGATGAGGATAGCCAGGCCCCCTATTTCATAACTGTTGCGCGTGCTCCCCTCTCGGTAGCTGAGGCATCGAAAGACGCGATACGTCGGTAAACGTAGAGTCCAGTCTAGTTTGGTTGAGCTAGCGTAGAGCCGAAAAGCAATTACCTACTGTCCTACCGGATCATATAAAATGAAAGCAGGAGATGACGCAAGCGCGTGGCGCCGCCGCGTGGGATCGGCGAGAAGCTCGAGCGCAAGATGGCGGAGAGTCGACGCATGCGCGCTACGCGCTCGCCTCGGCCTCGGGCATCCTCGGGAGCAAAAACACAGCTGGTCGGGGAACGGTCGACGACGGGACGAGTGGGCCGAACTCCACATGTGATTCTCGCGAGTTCCCTCGACGATTCGTCGCGTCCGCCAGAGCAGCGACCGCCAGTCCGCCGCACCGAGACCCCGAGACCGCCGCCTCTGGGGCGCCTCGCGAGTGACCAAGTGACCGCGGGTTAAATGTTTCCTGCACCCCGACTCCCGGACCCGTGTCAACGCAGAGGATTTTTCTCGACGCGGCCCCGGGATACAAAGGAATCCCGCGCGGTGCCTCGAGCGTCCTTTCGGTGAGTAAGCGGCAGAGTAAGAGTCCCGCCCGGGGACGCGAGGAGCACCTAACCTCGTTCTCCTCGAGGCCTTTCCCCGATTCCGGATTCCCTTTTACTCCGATCGGTCGCTATCGACTGCCTTCCTCCCCGGGTACGACTCACGTGTCCGTTCGCTGGGTATTCCGGATTTAAAAGGGGCCGATATTATTTTCGGACCGGACGCGGAAATTCGATTTTCCGTATTTTTAGAGGCCCTCACGCCAGGCGGTGCTCTGAGCTCCAGAGCTCTTTCGCCTTGCGAAATCCCTCGGCGAGGATTTACCCTTTACCCCGGGAGGGGGACAAGCTCGATTTTGGTGCGCGGTCTCCGGACCTATTTATCTCGGTCTCTGGTGTAACGTGATTCTAATCGATGCTTCGCTTTATCGTTAGCAGCAATACTCGCGAGCGGCGCAATTGCGCTTTTGGAGTAACGAAGGCCGTAGGACTTTCGCGGGGACCGGTCGAGATTTCTGATAAAAATGTGCACTGATTAAATGCTCTCGATATTTTGTGTACTTTCGAACACGAGCGTGTAATAAAATTTATCTATCTGGTGTAACGAGATTTTAATTAATGTTTCGGTTTGTCTTTAGCGATACTCTTGGTCGCAAGGAATCGCGCTTTGGGAATAACGAAGGACGCAGGACTTTCACGGAGAGAGGTGTTCGATTAAAATCTGCACTGATAAAATGCTTTCAATATTTCGAGCACTTTCGAATACGAGCGTGTACTAAAACGAGGAACAGCGAGAGACGATATGAAAACCGGGAAAGTGGGTACTGAATATCAAAGTCTGGTTCTAAAAAAGCGATTGAACAGAAGTGTTCGATATTTTCAACGCTTTTGAATATAAATGCATACTATTAACATTTTCGCGTTTTGAGCTCAAGGCGGCTGCAAGTACGCGTTAATTTATGCGTCCCGACGAGACGAGACTCGTTGAAGGATTTTTCTCATGACTCAATTTATTAACACGCCGTAAAACACCGAGCTGCTCTTCAAGGATCCAGGATACTCGCAAGTCTTGCCCGTGCATACGTCATTGCTTTCATTCTGCTTTGAAATCCTGTTCGCGCATTGATAACAATTTTGCCGGATATGCCGTACCGGAATCTCGTTATCGGCCATTCTTCGGAGAAACGCGAAAACAATGCGCCTATGTACTCCTGTACTCACCGTTTGATTGCTCCGATCGATACGGCTTATTCTACGTTCCTTCCGAGCGATTCAACGTGTACCTAACCTCTTTTTGTCCCATGCATGTGTAGTCGATAATTTATAAAAATACAATTTTTTCAAATCTCGTGCCCATCATGGTCGGCATTTTAATACATAAGTATAGGAATTTCTTTTGTACGAGTTCCCAGGAAGGAATGGTGTTCTTCGAAATGTGACTGCAGTATCTTCCGGATTTAATCGGTATTTTTATTTCAAAGTGTTCGAAATATTGAAACAATTTTTAACCATGGTTGGAGGACTGAAAATATAACGTTTTAGTGTTAATATGACAAGTAGAAATGAGTTTTCGGGATTATTCGAGAGAATCTCGGAGAAATACCGAGGATAGTCCATTATTCGAGACAGAAATCATCCGTTTGGGTAAAGCCTTAGGATTTGTCGGCACGTCTTAAGCAACTCTTTCTCCTTGGGGTGTCTCGAGAGAGAAATTCGAGACTCCTTAATTTTGAATTGTGCACAAGCACGTGCAAGGGCAAATCGAAGCATCGAATGTCAAGCCTTAAAACTTCAGCTCGAAGGATGCACCTTAAAACAAGCTGGTATAAGGGTCTAGTTGTATGCGGTAACCCCTGGGAAAAAAAAATATTAATAATAAATACGAAGGCGCAGGGTTTCCATTCACTTTTTTGCCCGCCAATACAAAGAAAAGATAGATTCTATTTACCGAAATGGGACTCGAGCAAGCAAAAATATTTATACAGCAGAATTCGGGACGGAGCATTCCCACAGAGAAAAATCTTCTGTCCGTCCTGGGGCTGGTATTATTTTTTTATCCCACGCTGATAAGGTCATTTTCTCTCGCCCTTATTATTATTTTATGTAATTTTTATTCTACTTTAATATTACACCTTATCGCGCTATGATAAGGATTTTCTCGAGCTTGTTTACAAGACCTCTCGGGAAGTCGAGAGGCTTTCTTGCATACTCTTAAAAGAATCTCTCCCGTTGCCTTTTCCATTCCTTTTCGGCCTTTTTTTTTCATTTCCGCGCCTTTCTTGCAGCCCCTTCTCGATTGTTCCTTCACAGTCGATTCTCGGAGCGAACTTCGAGCGGCACCTTTAACCTCGACTTATCCATTATCGACCTGTGTACGTTGTGAGGGAACCTTACTCGTAAAATTCGCGAGCCTGCTGCGAGGTCATTACGAAGACCTCCCTTTATTGCCTTTAATTCCTTTTTTATATCCCCGTCCGACTTTATTCCAAACGATCCCGCCTCGCGATAACAATTCTCTCTCGGATCTGATATTGATGAATTTTATACGAATTCTTTACCTCTCAACTACCAAATTTTTATCTTCATTCCGTTAACACATTGTTAACGGATCACGAGTTCACTCGTGTACAAACTTTGCATTAACGATTTGACGCGTTTTTAGTGAAATCTAAATTCAAGGGTTTATACATCGACGCTAATATTCATCCATTTTATTGTTCAATTGTGGATAATGTAGGAGGCGCGTTTTCAGAAGAATCGCTGATGGCTTGGATTTTTTTAATTTTTATGTTCAAAGGCCGGGAGAGTTCGCACGATCTCGCGATATCTCCGGGGTGCGGGTAAACCGCGTTAAAAATCCTCTAGGAAGCGGGTTACTTCCTTGGAATAATGAAAAAGCGTCGTTGCCGAGGTGGAGCGCGTGCACGACATCGCCTTTCCGCGTTACACGCATCATTGCGGTACAATGGCGCGGCCCGAGTAGTCCGGAGATTCCGCTTCCCGGAGAGGAGGCTCTTATGCGCCGACACGACGCGGAAGTCCCGCAAACGATGAGGAAGGACCGCGGATAAATTGATATAAATTCGAGTCTCGGCCGGAAGAGCCGCGACTCGCGAGGCGGGCCGTGAAAAAGTGTCATTGTCATTCCTATCTCTTTTTAAGGGGATCTCAAGCCCGCGATGATTCACCTGGTCAACGCACCTACTCTAAAATCCTTCGCGATCTTGTTTGGCCTTGATTTGAAAAAGTCGTCCGAATGAAACGCGGGTTATTGTACATGACGGCGGGTGAATGATCCTAAGGGGTCATGAAAAAATGATTTCTCGTGGGATAGTTTCGCTGTAGGTACTCTTAGAAGTTATCTCCATGATTCTTTTTTTTTTCTCTCCCGTTCAAAAACTTCGGTTCTTAAGGTGATGTGAAAGTGGCATCGAAGAGCTTTTGTTTATAATAGTTTGAAACGTTACAACGCGAATAGGGAGACTATAAGGAAAGTCCTCAGACTCATGAGATTTCAATTCTTTTGAAATTTCTTTATAGGTATTTTAAAAATAGTTTATAAAAAAAATGAAATTTCGCGAGTTTCAGAACCTACCTTAGGGTCTCCATATTCACGTTTTAAAGTATGAAACGATTTGGGACACCCAGTTCGTTGAAAAGTTTTATGAACGATTGAGCTTTCGGATGCCACTTTCACATCCCCTTAACGCGTCCCCTGTTGGACGGATTTTTTAGAGACTTTCTATTCAATCCGCCATAACTGCACTATATACTACCGTTTATATGTTTTGGAGCACTTGGAAATATTTGTATAAATTTCCTGAAGAACGAGGCAGTGGCTGGAATTATTGGACGGTAATGTAAACTAGTGAATTAATTAGTTAAATCAACCAGGGAATGCGTACAGAATATTTCTAATGCGAAATCTATTAGATTTAATAACGACTAATTCAGTGGAGGAGCTTTGGCAGTCTTTCGGAGAGCTCGAGGGAAGTAAAAGTCAAGCTTAACGGAATTAAACGGCTATTGACCAATCCTCGGTGCAGTTTACATGCAATTGCATAACCGGGCACAACGCGACACGGGATTAACACAACACGTGGGACCCGGGCTTAACGCAATGAGCGTTTTTCACTGACTTAACGCAATGTACACGGCACGTCCTTAACCTGCCCTAACCTCCTTTCGATCTATCAATGGCAATTATAACGCACCGCGGAAGCGAGCCTTGCTTTGTCGTTCCTCGCGATTACCGAACAACGTAATTGGATCAATTCATTATTTAAATCGGCGCTCTCTGCTCCAATTACCGAGGGTAACACGCGTCCGAGGTGAACGGCCAATTACTGCACTCCATAACAGGGATTAGGAGGATGCGCAGTCCGTAATTATTTGCGCAACCGATACACAAATACCCCTCTAACTGTTTCTTGTATACGAAAAAAAAATGACACATGGACGTAAACTAGGAAATTACAAAATTCCGATATTTTCATATTCGGATATTGAATTAATCGAGTTAGCCCTCATAAATTCGTGCCCGGTAAATATTCAACATTTAATCGCATCGTTCTTTTCAAACGAGAGATCGAGAAGCTACCTGCTACACTGAGAGAAAGAATATGTAATTATTTGACCGTAATAAATTTTCATAATTCCGAATAAAACGGTTGCCATCCAATTTATTCGAGCGCACATGAGGTAAATGCATTATTCTTCAAATTAACAGGATATATTACTTCGGTTCGGTGACGTTTTTCTCACGGTGGGGAAGAGGTCTCGAGAAGATACCATTGATTCACGTTGTAATTATTTTGAAAATAATTTTCTCTCCCGATAACAAATGATAGAAAACGGACCTTTGGAAGTACCTAATATTTTTTACTTTCGTTTCTGGATGTCGGGGATATCCATCGCCTAATATTTCCGTTTCGCGTCATTGATAGGAAGCCGTCAACGGCCTATCGGAGCTGACGAAATTGCCGGCGCGTAAAAAGGCACGGGCAAATTGTACTTTCTCC